TCCATTCTTTTAATTGGATACCATTTGTTTCTTCGTGTTGTTTTTTTTATTTTCGGGGTGTATTTTGTTAATTTTATTATGCAAATTCAGGGGCAAAATCGTTGATCATCACTCCCGAATTGCGTCGGATTTATGATAATTAACTTATAATCAATAAATGTAATTAATTCAGTGTTATTAATTAGGCTTAACCATTTATACTAAAAAAAATCAACGGATATATATTTCTAATAGATACTCTGATATGAACTGACCCTGACCTCTGATATAACTATAGCTGGCAATAACAATGTTTCATTGATACATTGATAAATTTTTATTTTAATATTAAATTCTCATTGTTTTAAGATTTTTTTAATAACTTCAAATTTTAATAATTTAAAATGTCAATTAAAATTTTTTTTGTAAGGCATATTGTAATTATACTAGATAATTCAGTTCATTTAATTAATTAACGTACAATTATATTAGATAATTCATTTCATCTAATTAATTAAGCATTTGTTCCTTCAGATGTCTTTAGGAATTGTGAAGTTGAAATTCTCTCAATGAAGAGTGAAGCAAACGCTAACGCTAAATGTTTGCGATTTATTATAAAATATTGATTGAAAAAATTTAGGAAGAAATAGTCGAGGTGTGGGATGGTGAAAAAGTGACACCTTTTGAGTATCCGGTAAAGATATTTTCTGAACAATGTGCTGGAACCGCACCACTTCGTTTGTTTTATTTATTTATTTATTTATTTTTGATTCCGCTCATTATAAATAAACAATCATGAAAGAAATAGTTGAAATAAAAAAGAAATTAATGATTTCAAATTTAAAAATATTGCTTTTAATTAGTTTAAAATAAAAGACTAATTTACAAAGTCTGAAATAGAATGATTTCCAAAGATATTCTTATCAAAAATTTCAGCTTTATCCAAAAATATCAGTATAACTTGTATGCCTCAATGGAATAATATATTTGATGAAAAACATTGTATCGGTTTAAAATATCTTAACGTAAGCCACTATTTGCGCAAATATTCTACTGAGGTATGTTAATAGCAAAATGTATTTTTAATTATTGAATTAATTAATGAAAAATAATATGTCTACAAAGGAAATAATAATTCATCATTGAAAGTTAAAACTTAGTCCAATTTGGAATCATCGAAACATTTACTGATAATAGAAATGAAAAAGAGATAAATCGAATATCTTTAGGTATTCTTAATTCGATGCTATAATTAATAATAAATTAATAATGGTACTATAATACATTTATTATTTCATATATAAATTTTCCTTATAATTTTACGATTCAAATATTTATTCAGCAAGTGAGAAGTACACAAATATATTCATATACGATTTACTTAAATTACAAATTTTAAATTTCAAAAATAATTTCAATATTTCTAAAAAGAATTACTGTAAAATTTTCAAATTTTAAATTGAGAAGAATTTTTAGAGGGATGGTAATCGAACGATAGTATCAATGGAAGGTATTTCGGAAGAAAGTCATCTGATCCGTTGGTTGTACTGGAATGGTACAGCCTGTATCAATGCCGTTTCGCAGGTGGAACTTATAGTTGGCTTAATATTAAAGTGTTAATATTTTATCAGCAAAATAATTCAGCAATAACTTTTTTGACAAATTGCATGGACAAATTATATTGAAGCTAATTCTAATTTTAATTAGACGATAATTGATTTTAATAAAACATAAGTTTTCATTAATAAACAAAGTGGTGAAATCAAGAATTTCCTCGCAGCTTATGTAGGTGTCACAGGTTAATTAGTTTTGATGTCAATAAAATAATGCATAAATTACAGGTGTTAATTAAATTTATCACTCATAATGGATTATTGGATGATATATTAGCAAGTGTTCATTATGCTAATATAACCGAACAAAGTTATTTTCAACAATTATATCAATTTGATGCAATTTTTATTGAAGCTTTATCCACTTCAAATGCTACAGAAGTGAAAAAGCCATTGGGATATGATATGAGACAAATAATTCGAATTGATAGTACCACAAATGCGGAATTTTCATTTTTATCCGGAATGGAATGCAACAGTCGGAATCAACAAGTTAATATACGATTTGGTATTCAAATTAATACAGCCTGTCGTCTAAGGTATACTTTTAAATTTCCAGTAAATCATAATGCTTTATTTTCGAATGATTACATTTATCAATAAATTATCAGACTATATTTGATAAATTCAAATTGAACGTTCAATATGTATCAGATTATATTTGATAAATTCAAATTGATTATGCAATTTATAATGCTTTATTTTCAAATGATTACATTTATCAATAAATTATCAGACTATATTTGATAAATTCAAATTGAACGTTCAATATGTATCAGATTATATTTGATAAATTCAAATTGATTATGCAATTTATAATGCTTTATTTTCAAATGATTACATTTATCAATAAATTATCAGACTATATTTGATAAATTCAAATTGAACGTTCAATATGTATCAGATTATATTTGATAAATTCAAATTGATTATGCAATTTATAATGCTTTATTTTCAAATGATTACATTTATCAATAAATTATCAGACTATATTTGATAAATTCAAATTGAACGTTCAATATGTATCAGATTATATTTGATAAATTCAAATTGATTATGCAATTTATAATGCTTTATTTTCAAATGATTACATTTATCAATAAATTATCAGACTATATTTGATAGAATTCAAATTGAACGCTCAATATGTTGTTTAGAATTACGACATGCGCTCAGATATTGGATCAAATTCAACATTTACTCAATGAATGGAATGATATTATTGTTTACAGCTTACCGTATAATACAAATGAAACAATTACTATGCGAAATAATAAATTATTATTCACAGAAACGGTCAACCAATTCGATTTAATTCTTATTTCATTTATATTTAAACTTTTTGATTTATTTATTAAATTAAATTTCTAATTAAATTTTTTTAATTTATAAAATCTTAAAATAAAATCGAATGAAAACAATTGAAAATTAATAATCTAATTTAAATAATTTAAATTATTCAATTTAAGTGATTTAAACTATTAATATGATTTATTTAACTTATCATAAAACTGATAACAAATATCAAAAAATTTTTACCTTTTATACTTTTATTTTTTCTCATTAATTTCTTTCTGTTGCAGAATAAATTGGATGAAAGTTGTGAATTAATAACAGCTGCATCGATCAAATTTGCATATGTACGAATTGGAAATATTCAATCTTACTCTCATCGTTTAATCTCATATGAAATTGAATTAAGCGATTCGAATATCATCGATTTAACCAAATATCCTTATCAATACTTTTATTTTAATATTATAATTTATTTTGTTGATCAAACTGTTGCACCAACTCAATTATTTGCAAAAATTCCAACAATTAATATTGAATTTCCATCTGATTTCTTTTATCCTTTTTTCACGGGAACTGTAATTTAATCAGTTTAAATTTATTTGAAACAAAAAACGAATACTTTATTAAGTTAAGCATTTAGTTGTTAACGATGAAATACTTACTTTCAAATATAAATTAATTCTTAAAATAGATTAGATCTTAAAATAGACTTTTAAGAAAAGAATTCAACATTCCATACCACACAACTTTATCTTTCCATAGTCTTTCTTAATGCAAAATTTTAATGAATGAAATTTAATTTCGTAAAAAAGAAAATTCACATTTCTAAAAAACAATGGGAAAAAATCCCAAGAAGATATTTTTAGCTTTCTATTTGATAATTATTTATTCGTTTAGGAATTTTTGTGATTATAATTTTAAAAGTTGTTGTAAAATTGTGATGATATCAAAAAAAAAAAAAAATGCGACGAATCATCAAAATGTTATTGCGATCATCGAATTGTTACTGCATAGTAAAGGGAAAATGTTCAACGAATAATTAATTATTTCATCACAAAATACTATAAACGATTAAATATGTCGAATTTCTGTTTTTATTATCTGACACTTACAAAAAAGAAGAGAGAAACTGGAAAAACTACTTAAAAATTAAAAGTTATTCAAAAATGTAAATAACAGTTTTTAATGAAATAAATTATTCCATCATTTTCTCGTTCCTAAAAATTATATCAATTATACCAAATGAACTTTAACCTTTTATTTCTTGTTTTTTTTTACATAATAGTACAATTTTTCAAATGCATCAATCATTTCATTGCAATTTTTCAATGATGAAAAAGCATCAAATATCGGAATTACCAAATTATACTCATTAAATTTGTTAATTGGAAATGAATAACTTTTTCTTTTTATATTTGCCGAACTTTTTGGTACTTTCTTTTGAATGGAACAAATAAGAAATGAAATAACCTTTTCCATCTCATTAATTATGCAAAATTGATTTTTAATTTTTTTTCCAAATTTATTTTATTTCATTTCTTTTTTTTGTTAAACTGATTAAAGCATTTTCTTTTTTAAATTATGCAAACTTTTCATATTTTTAAGAGAGAGAGAGAGAGAGAGAGAGAGGAATGAATGATATTCTTTCTTTTTAACCTTTCACATTTCTAAGAGAGAGAGGGGGAGAGGGAGAGAGGAATGAATGATATTATTTCTTTTTAACTTTCCACATTTCAAAGAGAGAAAGGGAGAGGGAGAGGGATAATATTCTTTCTTTTTAACTTTTCACATTTCTAAGAAAGAGAGAGAGAGAGAGAGGGAGAGAGAGGTGATTGAATGAATGAGAAGAAAAGCTTCTTTACGATTTGATGTTGAAATGAAGGTCGAAAAAATGATGAAAAAATAGGTTAAAATGTAAGAAAACCTGAATTTTTTGATTGAAATAAAGCATAAATAAAGAAATGATAGTATAAGTGACAGAATAATTTGAAGAGGAAGAGGAAAAGAGAGAGAGAAAGACAGAGAGATAGAGATAGAGGACAATTATATATAGATAGCATTTTGTGGTTAATATTATATCATAGCAACACTATTACTCATACAATAACATCTTCTACAATATGCGTCGTCCTTATTGTTCAAGCAAATTAGGTGAGTTTTTTTTTTTGCCTCTTATTTCTTTTAGATATTTAATAAATTTTAATTATAAAAAATTAGCTAAAATTTGAATTTTTGTTTAATGTTTTAATTTTATTTTAGAATACATCTTTAAATTTATAGAAGCAAAAAAGAAATTAAATTTAGTTAAAATAATTAATTAAAGCATAATTAGCATAAATTATGCTAATAGATCGAATGCACACAAATATATGCATTCAATTAATTTTTGTAAAATATATCACCTTCGCAATCCATTACATAATTACCAATTAAAATTTTCCTAATTTTTAATTTGAAAACTTTCTTGAATTTTCTGGAATGAAACTTTTTCAGGTCTTTATACCATCTTATATGTTGTATTTATCATTGAAAGTACCACAGCATTGGGCGGTATATTTGCTTTAAAAGCTCTTACCGGTAATATGCCATATGTTGGTTTTGGTAATCCATGGATTACCTATCCTACAGTTAGTTATGGTGGAGGTACGAATAAAATTTTTCCCTTCATTATTCTTTTCATTTTTTTTAATCAAAAAATTTTTATTTAAAATCATTAATAATTTCACTCTAATTAAATTCGTTGTAATTATTCATCTAGTAATTTCAAATATTTCCAGCTAGTATTTATTCACCATATATGTCAAGAGGATATGGTAGCAATACATTTGGTAGATTTGGTAATACAGGCATATATTATCCATATCGACAATATTTCGGATCACAATCATTAATACGAAATTCGTTGACGACTCCAGCAGAATTAACGAATTCGTTGACTACAACATTATCAGGCGGTGGACGATATTATAGGGGAAGAGGAAATCCTTGGATTACCAAACAATAGTTTATTATAATCCTTTATGCTTTTTCAATTGTTCTAAAATATAATTTTGTAATTTGATTATGTTTTTGTGATATTTGCTATTTTAATTTCATTCATTAATTAATTATGAACCATTAATTAAATTGAAAAACAATAGATAGTTTTATTCCAAAATTAAAAAGATACTTATGAAGAATATGCTTTTTTTCTTTTCATCAACTGAACCACCCATATGGAATCATAACTGATAATTTTGATAAGCATCCTAAATTTCTGATAAGGAAAAATTGCCAAATTTAATTAAGCAAAGTATTAAAAATTCTTCCACTAATTTTAGGACTATTAATTTCGGAAATTTTACAGACTATTTTTTAGATCATATTGTAATGGCTTCTTTTATTTCGATAAAAAAAATATTATAAATTAGGCATTTCTAATTAATTAATGCTAATTCAATATTGTATGTAAAACTGTTGCATAAAATACTGCGTTATGTTTGGGCATTTTGATATTTACATTAATTTAAATTAAAACAATATATCAATTTTTTTTTTATAAAAACACTTCAAATATATTGAATTTATTTAATTATGTAATATTATAATATAGCATTTTATTTTTTGCATCATACAAATGCAACAATGGTGATTAATTAATTATTCATAGTATCATTTAATTACAAAAATTCCTTAACTTAATTTGAAATAGTTAAAATGAAATCAAAAAGTAAAAATCAATTTAAATTAATATTAATTTTGCGCTTTCTTTTGCTAATATTACAAAAATTGATAAAGAAAAAGGCTAAATTAATTACAATTTTATTCCATTCTTTTTTTAATTAATAAATATTCTTTAAGTTCTGTTGCTTTAATTACACTAATTATAAAAGTGATGAGAAATTATTAATTAAGCAATGGTGCCTAATCAAATATTCATTTTGAAATATAATTTAAATTATTTTTTTTTAATAGAAAATTCAGTGTAAAAATAAATAAGCAAAAAATAATTCGCATAATTATTAAATGATTTGATTAGTGAATGTATAAAACAATTTCTGCAATGAATCCGATCATATTGTCTTATTTTTATATTTCGAGCCTAAATTTTATTATATGGGTTAAATAATTATCATAATTAGAATCAGAATTGAAAATTATCAGAATCAGAATCAGAATCAGAATTGAAAATTATCAGAATTAGAATCAGAATTGAAAATTATCGAGTTAGAATCAGAATTGATAATTATCAAAATTAGAATGGAATTGAGAATTATCAGAATTGAAAATTATCAGAATTAGAATCAGAATTGAAAATTGTCAGAATTGGAATCAGAATTGATTATCAGAATTAGAATTGAAAAATGCATTTGTTATGAAAGCAAAGTAATTAATGAATCATTTAAAAAAGGGATGGTAAATAAGGAAAATATTTGTTCAACAAAATAGATTTATCTCTTTTACCTCACCGAAAATAAATAAATTCTAAAATATTCTGTAATTATAACTTCAATTAAGTATGGAAAAATTATTACAGCAAAAAAGATATCAAAAATGCTTTTTAATTGAAATGATCTTTTAAAATATTAAATTTTCATTCCTCAATTTCACCGCTAAATCGTGAAATTTTTAATTCCTTTCAACAACATAAAGTCACCTAAAAATATATTATGCTATTTTAATTGTGCGAATAAATATTATTATGAAATTCTCTATTTTCTCGTTTTTTCTTAATGAAGGTTAATTAGATTAGTTAAAGTCAAATTTCAGGTATTTAAATCTTTCAAATACTATATATTATTTTAAAAAATAGTTAAAGTACTTTTCTCCATCTCTCTCTTTTCGTTTTCGTTGAATAAATGCTTTATCATAATAAAAAAGTTATTTTGTTGCCAGAATTTGATAAAATTAATTTTAGAAAAAAAATTAGATAACTATCAATAATATATGAATCAAATTGAATAATTTAGAAATTTTCAATAAATTTGAAAGTAATCGTCGAATTTTTCGTTTTGGTTAATTTTGGTCAGCAAAAATTTTACAACAAATATACTAAAATTAGAATGAAATATTTAGTCTCTTCATTAAAAATGAATTAAAGCTTTTGTATTGATAATACTAAAATATTAATTTAAATATTTGAAATTGAAAAAGGTAAGCTTTTCACGGCTGTTTAATCTTTGTTAATTCATTTCATAAAATTTACAACTTTTTTTTCCGCTAAATTTAGCAAATGTTTATTTGTATATAACTGTATATAACTGCAGGAATTCATTTGCAACGATTGCAATAAAATTAGAATGAAATATTTAGCCTCTTTATTAAAATAAATTGAACCCTTTGTATTGATAATACTAAAATATTAATTTAAATATTTGAAATTAAAAAAAGGTAAGCTTTTCACGGCTGTTTAAGCTTTGATGATTCATTTCACAAAATTTACAAACTTTTTTTCCGTTAAATTTAGTAAATGTTTATTTGTATATAAACTGAAGGAATTCATTTGCAACGATTGCACTAAAATTAGAATGAAATATTTAGTCTCTTCATTAAAAATGAATTAAAGCTTTTGTATTGATAATACTAAAATATTAATTTAAATATTTGAAATTAAAAAAGGTAAGCTTTCCACGGCTGTTTAAGCTTTGTTAATTCATTTCATAAAATTTACAACTTTTTTTTCCGCTAAATTTAATAAATGTTTATTTGTATATAAATTGAAGGAATTCATTTGCAACGATTAGAATGAAATTATATTCTTTGCTATTTTCTCATTCAATTGTCTTTCTCAATTTCAAAATTCATTAAAATAAGTTTCTCTTTTTTTTCTCATTAGTTTGTACTAAATTAACTTTCTTTCTTAATTATTCAACTAAAAGCTATCATTTCTGTTAGTACACATTTTGGAAATTTATTGAATTTATTGCATTTAAATTCATATCTCATTTAAAACCAAAAAAGAGACAAACAAATAGATTTTTGTTATCACAAAGTAAAATTTGATAATTTATCAGATTGTTTAAATTCGTCCGTTTTTCTATGAAATATAAGCAAGAAATTTATGTATGATAATGATAACTTATCATAATATAATCTTATTTGATTATAAAGAATGTTGACTTTCATTTGAGTTAATTTCTACTATTGCCAATTAATATGTGCGTAGTAATTAATCCATATTGTCATTATTAATAATAGTTTTAGAAGTTACTAAGCATTAGAGAGTTATGAGGTTATGTATCATTATAGTGTCATTATAAGTTGTTTAAATAATCTAGATAAGAATGATAAATAAAATATCATTGTGAAAATATGCATCGTTTGATTATGAATTCATTTTTCATAATAATAGAAGGAAGAGATAAATAGTATAAGAGTATTTTTGGAATTTGTTTATTAAATAATGAGCAAAATAAATGACAGCCTTACATTTCATCTTTTTTTTTAAATTTATTATTCTTTTAATTATGTGTTATTGACAGCGGAGAAACAAAAAAGAGAAGCAAAATAAAATTATATAAAATTGTCACCAATATTTATTCATCAATAAATAATTATTCGAGTTTATTTAAATTGTATAATGAATCATCTTTTTGCAATCATTTTAATTTTTCTTGCAACATATCACTTCATTAATTATTCCTAACTTTCCATTGTATCCATTTATATATTTATGAACATACACAAATATTATTATTTCAGATATGTTACTATTTTTAGCTTTAAAATAAAAATTAAAATAGAAATTAAAAAATTAATATTAATTCAAAAAAAGATATTTAAATATTTCTTTGCTTCTTTTTTTAAGTTTATTCATTTTTGCTATGTAAATATAATTACTGCGAAATATATGAAAATAATTATTGCCGTATAATTTAAAGTAATAATATATTTGTGATTGTAATTGTAAAGTAATAATATAATTATAATAATTGGAAATATTAAAAATAAATGCTTTTATTCAATTTTAATATAAATTAATTTTTAATGATAATTTTTAGGATAAGTTGGAATATTTGATAAAATAGTTAGCAACAGTAGGTTTAAGCTTATAATAGAGAATAAAAAAGAGCCAAGCTATTATGTGGCTATTAATGGATGTGAGATGATGATGGCTCTTTTATAATGAAATATTTCGATTGAAATAATGGATCAAAATTTTATTTATGAATAATTGATAAGCATATACAATATTTTAATCATTCTTCTTTTCTATTTTTTAAAATTTAGCTCTATATCTTATCAAAATCATGATTATATCACAATTATACCATGATAAAATCGTGCTCTATAGTTGTTACAATCACGATCATCATGGATTTCACCTTTTTCTCATTTCTATTCTCATATATTATTGCAATAATATTTACAACAGCACATTTAATAGTACTTAATATTGATCTCTAATGAAATTTAATTACCATAAAAAACTTTATGTTTAAGAAGTAATTTGAATAATATAACGATGAATAATAAAATAACAAAAATTTCAATTTAAAAATGAATTTAAATTTTTGCTCAAACAGATTTCTGAATTTTTGCAAAAATTAAATTTCACAATTAGTTTTATGTTTAAAGATATAACTGAATAAGATAGCGATAACTGCAGAGAAAATATTTTCACGATCCATTTTAGATCCGTTTTTATGTTGTTGTTAAACTTAATTTTAAAATATGATATAGTATAAAATATTATTGTACTAATTATATTTATACTATGCAAGTATATTATTATACACATATATTATACAAAAAAAAAAAAAAATATTATACTAATTATATTACACTAATTATCTTATGCTTTTTTGTTGTTGCTGCTGAATTTAATTTTAAATGATGTAATATAAAAAATTATTATACTAATTATACTTATACTATACAAATATATTATTGTACACATATATTATACAAAAAAAATATTATACTAATTACATTATACTAATTATCTTATGTATTTCCTACTGTTATTGTTGTTTTTTAAAATTGAAGAAAATATGATAATTTATAAATTAAACTATTTAATTATATTTGATAAGATAGATTTCTTTTATTTAATATTTTCCGATTATTGATTAAATTTCATGAAGTAAATCATTTCTGATAATTATTTCTTCTCCTTCTTCCACAATATCACACACACACACTCAATGACTGGAATGAAATTATTTCTCCTCTTTTTCCATCATATAATTATAAATTCTTCACGCACTTTAATTCAATCCTAAAATGCAATCATTCTTTTCCTCCTATCTTTTCCTTCCAGCCAATTTATTTCCTACAATGGACAATTAGAATTTTTTACTCAATCATTCAACCATCTAAAATAATTTTCCTTTTTTTCAAATTTTCTTCCATCTTCTTCCAATCATTCCTTTCACCTTCAAATTTTGATTCATTTTTAATTTCATTTCAATTCTATTCCTATTTTATTCTTAATTTCATTTCAATTCTATTCCTATTTTATTCTTAATTTCATTTCAATTCTATTCCTATTTTGTCTTAACATTTATGCAATTTTTTAAATGTCTGATCAAGTTAAGATTGAATTCACAATTATTTTGCTATAAAATGCATTCATTAATAGAAAGTTGACAAATATTTTTATCGTATTTTATACTTGGCTTGTCAACATTTTCTTTAATCTTTTCAACAAGAATAATTATTATTATCGATTATTGTGGCTGTTTCTTTTGTTTTGTTTTGTTTTAATTTGTAATTTTGACGTTATCTGATGACAGCCAGTATATGCATGCGATATTAAAAAAAAAAAAGTATTAAATAATTGTTGCAAAAATCAATAAAGAATTTATTGCATATTAATTTTTTAATTTCTAAAATTTGAAATTATCAATGAGAAGTGAAATATTGCGAAAGAAAGAAAAATAGCTAAATTATTCTTAATTTGGATAATATTATATCAATCATTACTAATTTCAGGTTTCTATGATCGCTAATTTTTTTGTTGAAATTAGAGACAATGAATTGCTTAAAACTTTTAATTGATAAAAGCTGAATGATTTTTCTTTTAAAAAATAAGAATGAATTTTGAATTTAGCAAAAATAATTAATTCCTAATTTTAAAATTAAACTTTGTGTTATTTCCAATATAAATTTTCTGATGCTATTTTTGTTTTCGAAAAATTCAATAAACTACAAATGAATAATTAGATCATTTAGTGTATTGCTAATTTGTTGCTAATGATGAAATAATATTAATTAGTGTAAGTATGAATATTTCAAAATTTGCTGCAATAACTTTTTCTTCGCTAATTCTAAACTTTTGCTCATTAAACAAAGGCTTAGGCTATTTTATAGTGATATGATAAATTCTTTGATTATTTTTGATTAAAATCTATTGAAATTCATTTAATTGATTATGAATGTTAGGATTCTTAATGAATATTAGATCGATTTATACATATATATAATCGATTATATATGAATATTGGATCGATAATAATCATTATCACTGTTAACATATCAATCAGTAAATAGAAAAAGTATTTATATATTGATTCGGCAGAAATTCAACAAACAGTAGTACGAAAAAATTAATACGTGGTGGATATCTTAAAAATTTAAATGCTTAATTAATTGCTTAGCAAATTCATAAGATATATTTGTAAAAATAAGTTTCAGAAAATAATGGATAGAAAAAGTGTTATTACTAATTAATGATAATAGTGATAATACTGACAATAATAATAATACGATAATACGACAATAATGATAATAGACAGTTACGATAATAATATTAACATTATAACAGATAACATTAAATTTTTGAATTTTACAAAATTAATTAATTATGGCAGATAGCATTAGTTATCTGGCATAATTAATTTATTTTGTAAAATTCCAAAATTTGTTTATAACAGAAAAAAACAAATTCTTGTTTCCACCACATATTGAGTGAATTCAATTGCTAATGGAAAAACTTTTTAGTGATTCTATTTTTTTGCAAAGTATATATAATTAAAAATTAAAGTTGTTTACAGAATATAAATTAAAAAATTGCTATTACGTCAAAATAATTAAATGTTTGTAATCTAAAAAAGTTATAGTATCATAAATCTTTCGCTAAATTAGCATCCTTCCTGTTTCATTTCCAACATTTTCTTCATTGCATATTTTTGCTTGCATTAAAAGATTTGCATCTTTTAATTTGATAAAACAAAATCAAAGATCACCGATATAAATAAAATTTAATTAAATTTTTTCATCGCATTGAATCTTTTTATACAATTTTTGAATTATACCAAAAATTAAGTTAAAAAATTAAAAGAAACTTTGCAACATTTTTACAATTTAATATGAAATAATAATAATAATAATAATAATAATAATAATAGAAATAATAATAATAACAATAATAATAAATAATAATACGTAGTCATTGGAAAAGATTCCTTTTTTTTACATTTCAATTCTTTCAAATACTATAAAATAATTATTCAAATAACTTTCATCATTATTTTGCTCTGCTATAAATTATTTAAAAACTTCTAAATAGTAAATAAAACAATAAGTATGTGTAATTAAATGAAATTATCAAATATTATCATTATATCTTATGAAACTTGGCTCTAATGAATTGCTATATTATCAATTAATAAATAGAAACCAATTCTATGTAACTATTAATTTTTCATTTTCATATATTTATTTTTAAATTCTTATCATATTTCAGTACATAATTTTTTATAATTTATATCTGATGAATTGAAATCCAAGCAAGTGTTACAGATAATATTAAATGTTAATTATTCTTAAATAAAATATAATCACTTATAAATAATCACAATAATACTTAGTTATGGATTTTGTAATTAATTATAATGATGTGATTGTTAATTTAGTTTAGTAATAAATTAATTTAGCAATTAATTATAATGATGAAAAAAAATGAATGGAATGAATTCTTCTAATCATTAATATTAAAATCATAGCAAAAATTAATTAGCTAATTTATTTGGAAATCAAAAATTTGTGATATTATAAGTTAATTATAATTATGAAAAAATATATTGTAATTTTTAGATGATTAAATGAAAGTTCTCTAGTGAATGATAATATGATAATAAATGCTGAAAATACCGAAGTGGCAACATTAATAGCACAAGAAACTGGAAATTTTTGCTTAGGTAGGTAATCATTGTTACTTATTTAAAAGAACAAAGTTGTAATTTTTAAATTTAATATTTCATTAGTAAAAGAATAAATAGGAATAAATGAATTATTGCTGTAATTGAATAGCTTTAATTAAGCATTATGTTATTTACAGAAAATCCGAAAGATGTGGAAATTCGTGGTATTGGTCCTGATCCTCGTCAAAAAAGCAAAATAATTAAATGTTGCACGGCAGAAAAGCGTAAAACAACATTTTCTGCATATATTATAGCAATTATCAGCATATTATTGCTTATTAGTATTTTTGGTAGGTTAATAAATTTAAGCTCAAATTTCGATATTATTCTTATAGTTTTGCAAAAAATAAAATTAATAGCGGAAAGTATGCTTACTTTAAATAGTTTCAAATATTCAATCTATCTTTTAAATAACAAAATATTAAAATTTAGTATTCATTTACTAATTTAATTATTTTTCTTCTACTTTGCATTATGCATAATAATGGAAACGAATAACGCAAGAAATAAACAAAGTTTTGGGAGCGAAAAAGGATTGATTGGCCACAGTGAAGAAGATAGACGATATCATTTATCAATTGTTGCTTATGTTAATAAATTAAATACTACTTGGAAGGTTAGTAATTTTTATATTATCGATTATCATTATCATTATCATAGTTAATCATCATTCTTTATTCTCTTAGCACTGAATAACAATCCATTCTTTTATTTCAATAAAAAATAGAAATTATAATGGTTTTCTGAACTGATAGAGAGTTAAAGTAATTTATCTATTTTAGGCTACCTATAATCGTTTTGCTTCTCGAGCAATAAGTAAACATGAAATATCTGTATTGGCTCAAAGAAATAACAAAATAAATCAGGAATATCTTCTTGGTGATACAATTGAGCATATAAATGTATTTTATAATTTGTTTCGATATTATTTGCTTCTTATAAATAATATCTGAAATATTTCTTAGCTGACTTGTTATCTGCAATCAATAATATCTCAAATATTACTTATCTATCATTTAATTAGTTGGCATTTTTTAATGATGAAAACTTTACATTATCCGATTTTCCTTAATTACTCCATTTTTAGTTATTAAAAAGCAAGAAATTACACTTGCCACAACAATTTGATGCTCGTTTACAATGGCCAAACTGTTGGTCCGTTCATCAGGTAGCTAATCAAGGTGGTTGTGGATCATGCTGGGTTAGTCTGCTGTTGTCTATCGGATGATAGATTGAATAGAAAATTAATCTGACAATCGAAATTTATAAAAAGTTACAAATTTAAAAAATCAAAAAATTAAATCCAGTTCAGTCTAATCTTAACAAAACATTAAATTCTTACCAATTACTCATTNCTATCGGATGATAGATTGAATAGAAAATTAATCTGACAATCGAAATTTATAAAAAGTTACAAATTTAAAAAATCAAAAAATTAAATCCAGTTCAGTCTAATCTTAACAAAACATTAAATTCTTACCAATTACTCATTCATTAATTAATTAAATAAATTTTCGAATTCAAATATATTTAAACTTTTGTAGGATTAAGAAGAAAGCTTTAAAAATTATTTAAATCTTTCTCCTTTTTTTTTTCAGGCAATATCAGCAGCATCTGTAATGTCCGATCGTTTATGTATAGCAACAAATTCTAGCAATCAAAAGCAAATCTCTGCAGAAGATCTTATATCATGTTGTGCGGAATGTGGCGGGTCAGTATATTATTTTAGTTTAATTTTAATTATAATCCTAAATTAGAAAATAATTAATCATAATAAAAGAAACTAAAATTAGTAAAAGTTATTGCATCTTTCACATAGGCTTGTTAATTTATAAAATTTTATAATTAAAATTAAAATCTTTTAAAAATATAGGATTTTTTAGCCTATTTGATTTTAAATATTATTTTTTCAAAGTTTACAAATTAGCCAATAATTAACAAACTTAAAAATTTTTGTTCTTTTTTGTTTTATCAGATAAATATGCTATATTTTTAAAAGATGCCAAGGATCACATTGGGCACTATCACCATTCATCCATTGGCGAAACTATGGCCTCGTAACAGGTTGGCCATTTATTAAATGTCATCACTTTTTCTATCGCTATTCCCTTTAATACATTGTAAATATAGAGTAAACAATTATGATTAAAATTACAGGTGGTGATTATGGTAGTTTTGAAGGTTGTAAACCATATACTACTATACCAGATTGTGGTAGTCCATGCTCATTTGAATACTATCGAAAGAAAGTAGCATCAGTTTGTCAAAAAACTTGTCAACCACTTTATGGTCATAGCTATGAAGAGGATCTTATCACCAGTACATAATTATTATTATCTTAATCATTATCATTATTATTTATTATTAGTGAGCTCTTTTTTTCAGACAATCTGATTAATTACATTCTGCTAATTTAGTAAACAAATAAATATTGTATGAAATAAATTAACATAAACATTTCTTGTAATTATTTTTAAATATGCAAATTAGGTGAAAAAGCTTATTGGATTCGAGCAGAAAAAGGTAACAATGGAATTAATTCATCCGTACAAGAAATCATTCAAAAAACCATTGGAAATGGTATGTTTGATAGTTTTCAATTTATTATAATAATAAAAGATTCATTAAAATAAGAAACAATAATAAACAAATAATTAGACAATGAAGTAATTATTATTATGCTAATCATTTGACACTTCTTGACACTTTTTTATTGGAAATATTTTATTTTAAAGATGAAAAGTTATCAGTAATTTAATTTTGTGAAAGAATTAATTACGATTATCACTGAAAAGTATAATATATTGATTGATCGGATAATTGCAAAAAGATAATAGAATCGTAAATTTACGATAAACTGATTTACTTCAACCAACAGATTAAGCTCAAAATTTTCGGCTGACAATTTCGAATATGTTTTGTTATTTTATGTCTACTTTTTCTTTCAAATTAATTCTATTCAAAAAGGATTTTTCTTTTGTTATTGTTCTTTAATTTATTAATTAAATCAATCAGTCAATTAACCAAAAAGATAGCAATTTTTTTTCAAATATTTGTGCTTAAATTTGCTAAACATATTAAAAAAGCATTTAACAATAATGAAATATATGTATACTATATAATATATAATATAGATGGATTTAAAATTATATGATACAGATAAATTTAAATTTTTAAAATTTCTTAACTTATAAACTAATTTCATTTTTTAAAAATTAATTCCACTTTTCCCTATTCATTTCAGATGATCAAACGGAATTAATTAAACGTGAAATTTATTTATATGGACCAATACTTGCATGTTTTACGGCACGAGAGGATTTTCAGCATTATGATTCAGGTAATATAACAACTACTATTACTACTACTACTAGGCTTAAAAACTTTTTGTAATTGGCTAATGATTGATTGCCAAATGTAAAATGGTTAGTCTAAAGAAAATAAATTATTTATGTTTTTATGTAAAAACTAAAATTACTAAGACAATTTTGAAATTGTTTCGAAAATTCTTCAAAGAAAAAAATGCATCAATTTTTTAATTTGAAATGTATTTCAGGAATTTATCAAACGACTAATAATTCAACAATTTCAAAAGAACTTTATGGACATTGCGCTAAATTATTAGGTTGGGGAGAAGAGAATAACATTAAATATTGGCTTTATATGAATACATGGGGAAGAAATTGGGGTGATTATGGTATGTGAAATTTATGCAAATTTCTTTTTTTAACTTTTAAAAAATTCATATCACATGAACAAATTCATAGCATATTATGAGAAACTTTTGCAGTAATTGTATAATTTTATCAAATATTATTAATTCACATAAAAGTGCTTCAAATTTAACTTTCTACGATAGACAAACATAAAAGAGAGTTAATTAATTTTAAAATTTAGTACCTTTTTATGGTTCTTAAATTTTGAGACGAACTGTCGTCTAAGAATCGATTTAATTTAAATATGAGCTAAAAAGTTTGTAACTAAAAAAATAAACGTGAATTCGAATTTTATTTGTTTATTTTCAGGTTTTTTCCGTGTAAGTGAAACGGAATTACCTGAAGAAGCAATTGCCGGTTTGCCGTAAATCGTATAGAAACAAGATATCAAATGTTAATGAAAATTCTGATGGCAAAACAATAATAAGTGAAAGTTGTTTACCGATTGCAATAATGAAGCATATATTTTTAAATTTTATAATACCGGAGAAAAATTTTTCCTTAAAAGAATTAAATTTGTGATGTATTTGAGGAATGATTTAATTCTTTCAATTTATCATTTCAATTTCAATTTATCAGTTATCATTAATCAGTTATTATCAACGAAGAAAGTGACAAAATAGAAAGGAAGAAGTAATTGTTTTATTTCAACAAATTTATTACATTAATTAAAAAACTTTTTTGCAGCAAATAATTTATCCTTTTCATATGACTGTTTCTTTTGCAATTAACAAATGCCGAATTATTACAAAATTTAAATTTAATGCAAATAAAATATAAAATTTAAAATTACATTGAAATCATCATATCAATAATTTTTGCAACAACAAATTCTTAAATTATCTCATTACTGTTAATGAACTTAATTGTTTCTTAACTATTATATATAGTATGAATTGTTTATAAATTTAATTGTAATTTTTTTTTCAATAGCTTAATAAATTTTAAAATTTTAATTTCATATATAAAAGACGTTGAATTAATTATATTCATGCTTCAATTTGTTATTAATAATTTCAAATTATCAAATTTGAATACATTTAACATTAAATTATACCATAACTTATCATAATCATTTATCAACTTGTTCAAATTATAGAATAGGACTCGTTACATATCCTAATCATTGTTTATCACAAATTTCCAAAAATTTATCAGCTCGGGTCCTCTGATTACGAACCATGCAGGGCAAAATATAATCATTGTTAAAGTGTAATAATTTTTGTCGAAACTATAACTTTCAAAGTTAGCAAATTATCAGAGCTTTAAAGTTATCAAAATTCGAAAATTTTGCCATTTCAAAGTTAAAACTTATAATTTAAATAATGTAATATAAAATTTATTCAAAAACAAAACGCTTTCACTATGTATTAATTTCGGATATTTAGACAGAATTTATCCAAAAATGAAAGTTTAAAAAATTTAGAATTACCCAATGTGATCGTTGAATACCAACAACAGCTTCTATACCACCCATAAGATCATCACGAACCTTAAAATTTTTTTTAGCTATTATCAGAAGAATTTTCAGAAATCTTAATATCGTTGTTATGCTACTTATGAGAAAGATATGAATGTCTAAGAAAAAGCCTATAAAAAAAGCTTAGCTTAGATTATTTGATTCAATAACCTTTAACCTTAGGTTAAACTGTTTGTTATTTTGCAAGTGTTGAAATCATTATATTAATTATAAGAGAAGAACGAGTAAATTAAGAAATAAAATTTTTTGAAAATTGAAATTAAAGAAATTAAAAAACAAACATCGCTGACGACATGTTCTATTAATGTCTCCTCACTTTCTGGCTCAGTTTTAACATCAAGCAATCTGACCAATGGCTTAATTGTTGCACCCTAAAATCGAAATTTCCTCTATTAATATCGATGATACATTTCTTATATTGTGATGGACATTCTAATATTTCTATCAACTTCTAATCTATTTTTAGCACTAAAATTTTAAAGCCATTTTAAAGTTGAAAATGAAATAGTATTAAAATTTTTTGAATACTACAGTTTGAGATACTTGATGCAAAAATTAATTAAACATACATAATTAAAATGACTCAGGAAATGGTAATATCAAATCTTTCAATAGTTTTAAAATAAATTAACACTTAAATTAAATGATATCAAATTTATAGTCTTTATAGGACAGAAAATTACAATAAAATAATTAGATTCCTTTAATTCAATTAATTAGAGCTTAATTTCACTTCATATTATTATTATCACATATTTGTTTCATAAATACCTGTATGAAGACAGTCGTTAAAATAACAATAATCGTTGTTGAAGCAAACATTTCCTTGGCCAAAATTGCCTCCTTATCCAATGTCATCACTAAGCCATAACAAATAGCGCCACGTAAGCCACCGTAAGCCATTATAAATTGATCAACAAGATTTATCTTTTGTTGTCTTCCTCTATTTGCCAAACATGTCAAAACATAAGTTCCTGTAACTTTATACATTTTTCATTTATAAATTAGAATTGAATTAATTATCCACCTTATAATTTAAATGAAATTAAATATAAATTGCCAAATGTTAAATGTTAAATCTTTTAATTATATTAAGTCTTTAATTAATTTATAATTTAATTCCATTAAATGAACATACCAATAAATCTACAAACTAAGCATGCAATTAATGTTATTCCAATGAAGACTGAATCCCAATTATGCTTCTTTGATACCGTTGATAATCCCAAGAAGACGAATATTATCGCTTCACAACTTAATTTATATTAATTTTAGAAAACTATCATAAAGTTCTAATTTCTAATTTCTTAATTGTTTTAGAAGTAATTATACAAAAAAAGGTTGTTTATCAAAAAAAGAAGCCAAATACTTTGAAGAAGTATTAAACTCTCTCTCTCTCTCTCTCTCTCTCTCTTTACATATAACATTTTGCGTCATATTTTTAATAAATCTTAGGTAAATTTTGAATCATCGAATCTGTTCATATAAACAGTACTTCTAAATTTTGGATGGAATCTAATTGCATATGCAATATCTAGCTCTTTCTTTCTGATATCAATTAATAGGACAGGTTGAGAAACCTTGTTGCAAGAGTTTTAAAGAAACAACTTGTGGTGACCAATGATTGCTTTGATAAGTTACCAGCAAGATATTGTTTCATCATTAGACCACAAAGGGAGATACTAAAATCAGTTACAATTATTAAATAATTAGAGAAATTCCTTTTTTAATATGAATTTAAATCTTTCGTGAAAAATTCCAGAAAAATATCATTGAACATTTTTAGTTTATAATATATTAGAAATTGTATTATAATAATTATTTATATAAGAATTAGCAAATTTTAGTTTTTTAATAAATTAAATGATTAAAGTGAAAAGATAAAAAGATAAGCAAAACAAAATAATCATTGAAAAAAAGAAGAGCGAAAATAAAGATTGAAAAGATAACAGTTAAATTAAAAAGATAACAGTTAAATTAAAAAGATAACAGTTAAATTAAAAAGATAACAGTTAAATTAAAAAGATAACAGTTAAATTAAAAAGATAACAGTTAAATTAAAAAGATAACAGTTAAATTAAAAAGATAACAGTTAAATTAAAAAGATAACAGTTAAATTGAAAAGATAACGGCTAAATTGAAAAGATAACGGTTAAATTGAAAAGATAACAGTTAAATTGAAAAGATAACAGTTAAATTGAAAAGATAACGGTTAAATTGAAAAGATAACAGTTAAATTGAAAAGATAACGGTTAAATTGAAAAGATAACAGTTAAATTGAAAAGATAACGGTTAAATTGAAAAGATAACGATTAAATTGAAAAGATAACAGTTAAATTGAAAAGATAACGGTTAAATTTAAAAATGAAATTTATCACAAAAAAATTATCATCTTGGATAGAATCAAAATTTCATCTATAACATTAACCAGGTTAGCTTGAAATTAGCATTGTCAACATTGTCAACTGGAACCTCTTTTAATTTCTTATTTCAATTTTAAAACAATAAAAAATGAATGACTTACGCAAGGATGCCAGAAAAATGGACACTTTCTGCTATCAAATATGAAAGATAAGGTACAAGTAAACAAATTAATGGTTGAAGCACTTGTTGCTTATTTGAATATCTGAATTATAAATGATAAATTTGAAATGGATAAAAGGTAAATCAAAAAATTATATACAATTATTAATTATTATATTTGGAGTTATTTATTGATTTGCTTCGAATTAAAATAATCGTTAAAATGAATTATTTTAGCTAAATAAAGTAAAAGAATCGGTGATAACTTAAATGAAATAAATATATGAAATGGATTTGACTTTATTATCATGATTTGATTCTATTATCATTATAGTCAAACTTATATATTTCCTGTAAATCATTTTTAAGTAAAGGGTAATTTCACTTAAAAATAAAGCTTGCAAAATAAAGTTTATAAAAAAATGCAAATCAAAATCAATAAATTCTATGGTACTTCTTTTGAAGACTGTAAATAAGACAATGTAGCATTTTTTTTTTCATTTATTCTTATTAAGCCGCAAATTGTAGTATGAATTTTTGAATTGAATAATTCAATGTATGTGTTGAAAACAAAATGATATTTGAGAATTATTACTTAGTAGTTAAACTGAGAAGAGCAGCTCCAGCAATTCCAATAAGTATTCCACCAAAGCTCACTAGGAAAAATGATATGAGAGCTTTGACAAAATCTTCCGTCTCAAAATTCTCTGGACCAATTTTGATTATTGCCGCTAGCGCATGATATATAACCTGTATGAAGTATATATATATATATATATATTAGCATAAATTTAAAATGAAATGAAACAATGAATGTTGTTAATGTTAACTTTAGTTCATCCGGAATAAGTTTCTTAAAATTTGAATGAAGCCTTAAAAAAATTTGTGAACGATAAAAAAAAGATTCTATCAAAGTAAATTCCTACAAATCTTATATATATATATATATATATATATCGTTGGAAATAATGAAATAAATTATTCTCAAACATTTGTTGCAATTTCCACATATAATCGCATTATTTAAATATGAATAATTAATTAATTAATTAATTATATGAATTATATAATATGAAAATATTTATATAATAACGGAAAAAAGTACAATAATCTTACAATTGTTACAGCATCATTCAGTAATGACTCGCCAAAAACACAAATATACAATAATCGATTAACTTTGATTTCTTCAAAAACACTTAATACAGCAACCGGATCTACTGCCGAAATAATAGTTGAAAAGAGAAATAGATGGAGCCAATGTAATGAGATCGAAAAGAATGATGATGCCATAAATAGGATAAAACCTGAAATTAATATTCATTTAATAATTTTAATTTTCTTTTTATTGCAAAATAATACATTGAAAATTTGATGAAATCTATTAAAATAATTTAGGTAGAAGAAAACTTTGTAAATTTCATTCATTTCTAAGGAATTTAATTATTCAATTAAATAAATTTAATTAATCAATTAAATGCTCAATTAAATGATTAGAATGTTTTTTTTGAAAAAAGTACGTAATAAAAAATAAGACGAAAGAATAATTTTTAGTATTACAAAAATTGAAAGTATCGAACAAATCGAAATATATTGTACTTACTTAATTGACACATTATAATTGCTTAGCAATAATTTAAAAAAAAAACAATAAAATTTTATTAAAACAATAGAAAAACGTAAGATACCGATAGAAACAATGTTCCAAATTGTTCCTATCACAGCGTATAATATAATGGTGCCAAAATTTTCAAAGAAGGCCTGGTCAGGTAATGCATAACCGGCATCCAAAGCTATCGGTGGTAATAGATATAAGAAAAAAAGATCTGAAACTTTTTCGTTTCAAAATTATTTTTACTTATCGAACTTATGTGTAATATCTTTTATCAAATAGTAAATAATATTATAATTTTTTTGCCTAAAAAATTTACCTGGATCTAAATAATTGCCTAAAAAATTTACCTGAATCTAAATAATTGCCTAAAAAATTTACCTGGATCTAAATAATTGCCTAAAAAATTTACCTGGATTTAAATAATTGCCTAAAAGATTTACCTGGATCTAAATAATTGCCTAAAAAATTTACCTGGATCTAAATAATTGCCTAAAAAATTTACCTGAATCTAAATAATTGCCTAAAAAATTTACCTGGATCTAAATAATTGCCTAAAAAATTTACCTGAATCTAAATAATTGCCTAAAAAATTTACCTGAATCTAAATAATTGCCTAAAAAATTTACCTGAATCTAAATAGCTGCCTAAAAAATTTACCTGAATCTAAATAATTGCCTAAAAAATTTACCTGAATCTAAATAGTTGCCTAAAAAATTTACCTGGATCTAAATAAATTTCATGCGACCAAAAACGATCCATTACGCTTCCAGCAGCGAAACCAACAAGAATTAAAAGGGCAGAATCAGGTAAAATTGTAAATCGTTTACTCGAATGAGATACTGAATTTAGAAAAAAAAGAACGATAAAAAATTGGATAAAAGTCGAAAAATGTTTGAATCCAATTGCTGATAATTGCAATCAATTATCACTGATAATATAATTAGTGTATTGATGATGAAATAGAAATAACCTGTATAATTTGCAACTTATCATCTAAAAAAAATAAGTTTAATGATGGACTATTCTTACTATTTCTTCCTAATAAAACTATAATAATTAATTTGATTACATTATCAAATGATAAAAGTGTATTTTATCAAAAAATAATAATTTATAATTTTATAATTATAATTTATAATTTATAATATATAATTTATAAATTCTACAGTTATTAATTTAGCATTATTCTTTGTAGCAATTAGTGAAATTTGAAAATTTGCAAATTATTTAAATTTCATTTTTAATTTTTATAGAAAAAAACGATTGCCATTTTTTTTTCTAAAATTAACATTTTATTTTGATAAGAAGAATTTCAAATATTTAAATTATTTTCAACACATAATAAACTATTAAACTAACAATTGGATATTAAGAGAAATGAAAAAGCACAAACCTATTTTGATTAAAATAATTGACAGAAGCCATAAGCATATGGAAAGCGGTGTATTCAAATCGTACCATTGAAAATCCATTATAAACCTTAGCAACAATTTCTTTCTTATTTTTTCAATTTCATATTTCACTTATCCTCTTAATATATCACGATATTTGATTACACTATTAATTCGTTTATTCAATAATAATATTATTCTTACGTAAATAACATTGCAAAAAAAAAACCATTTCTATTTCAATGTAAAATTTCGATAAATGATAATCAATCAATAATCAACCATAGATGATATAATTAATTAGCTAAAAGAATGAATGAATAAATTTTATTGATTGAAAGAAAGACTATTTTTTTTTGTTAGATACATAAATATTACAACATAAAACAACAATATGTGTTAATGAAGAAAATAAACAAAAACGATAAGGTCAAAACAAATGTCAAACAAACAAAATAAATTTACAATGAATTTTGTAAAAATAAAAACAAAGAAGTTTAATTAATATTATCATTTTGTGATAATTACAATGGAAGGTTTATACGTAAATTATTTGGAAAAATGGCATTATTATTGCTGTTAGTTGTATTAAATGATTGTTTGCAATCAAATAAATGTCATCGTTATCGCCACAAATAGTCAAAACTGGTTCAGCACTTTTTGTTTTTCCATTTTAAGTTTTGAGAAAGTTGTTGTGATAATAAATTATTGAAATTTTTAACTTTCAACAATTATTTATGAATATTCATTCCAACAATGACAACATAAATTAAAATGAAATAATTATTGTGTTCTTATTTTATTCCTATGTTATCTTTTATCTTTGTTGTTTATATTTTTATTTCTGCTAATTGCTTTATTTAATTAATAATTTTATAATGAATGAAAATTTTGGTGAAAAAAAATTGATTGAATGTCAAATTAAATAATAATAAATTGTTGGAAATTTATCATTTGTAGTTATCATTTTGCAGTATTTATTTCTTGCTATCTATCAAATGAAATTAAAAGCTAACAAAAATGAAGCAATTAATACAATACAGCTCTTTGTTTCAGATAATTAAAATTTCAGCTAAAATTTTTTCTTGCTTCATTTGATCCATTCTTTAAGATTGATTTAAGATTGTAAACTGTCAATAATACACAAGTAATATTTTGGGTAATAAATTCATTAAATTTCTATTGATACTTTTTCGAATGCATTCTTATTATTTTTGATAATGATCCTTAATGATAACATTATCAGTAATGATTATTATTCAGTTTTGCAATCTTTTTTTTCATTGACCATTCAGTTTTATAATTTTGAAAGAATGAATGATACGTAATGTCATATTTAATGACCAAACAAACAATCGACAGTGTTGAGGAAAAACGAGAGCAATGTGATAAATTTAACAAACAGATAAACGAATGGATGAATAGATATAGGATTGGTAGATAGATAGATAGATAGATAGATAAATTGATTGGTTGATAGGTAGATAGATGGACGACGGACAGATAGATGGATAGGTGAATAGATGGATAATGGATAAATAGGTAGATAGATAGATGGATAGGTGGACAGATGAATGAATGGATATTTGGGGGGGAGGGGGGGGGGGGGGTAGATGAATATATACGAATGGATGGATAAATGAAGTGACAGTTGCGCGGGGTGCATTAATAGTCTTCCACAGTTATTTAGCGTATTGGTTAAAATGGCATTTCAATGCCATTTGTAATCATTTTCATATAGTTGAATATAGCGATACAACAAGTTGATGACATCAAACTATGGCATCTTTTTGGCTTATTCAAGTATTTTATTATGTATATTTGAATGGTGTAAATTAATTCCTTTGTAATTATCATAATTGGGCATAGGTATTTTCAGAATCCGATGAGTTATCTTCCGTTAATTAAAATCACTCTATTATCTATAATTATTTATAGTTGGGATAAATTTATTCATTGATTAATATCAACATATTTGCTTTAATATTATATAAAATTATTTTAAAATTTGTTGTAATTAAATTAATGCATGTCAACAGTTTGCGGCAAGAAGTGAAAATCCGGTTTGAAAAGTAAAAAGCGTAAAGTAGTAATCTTTGATTTCCTTATCTGTTCTTTTCAACACCATCAAAATTATCGAATTAACCGGCTAGTCCATTATCACTAATTCTTTGATCTGTGTATTGTTTATGCTATTAACAAAGTGTAATCTTTAGTTTCTTTTTCAACGATCGGAATTATGGAATTAACCGATTAATGCAAATACATCATCTATATTATCCCAAACAATATTTATCATTTTCTTCAACGGATATTTTTCATTTTAATCTTTCATCCTTTTGATCAGCTTATTTAAATTAAGATATCTAACTCTATTGATTACTGTTATTATTTTTGTCATAATTATTGATATAATATTTGTGATACATAGAATGGGAAAGAATTATGTACAGTTTCGTAAGTATCATAGTTCTTTTTCCTAATTAGTAATTAATTAGTAGGATTATTTATAAATTCATACATGATTTATAAATTATTAAAGTTGTTAGCGGAAAAGTAGAAAGAAAATGAATGGGAAAAGGAAGGAAATTGTTATTTGTGGTTAGTTGTGATGGATTAATAAACAAATATTCTGTGATTGATTAATTAATATCACATCTAATGGATATTTAACAATTTTTATATTTTCATATTTACTTTATAACTGTTGTTTTGTTTGTTTGTTTGTTGTTTTCAATACATATATTTGCATAACTGATAAATGATAAGCGATAATCAATTTTTATTCATTCCATTCAATAATCAATTCATAGTCAATAGTTAAAATTTTTTATCTAATCATTCTCGCTTACAATAATGTTTTGTATCATTTTGATATTAAAAATAGCAAATATTTATTTATCATTTTCGTCATTATCACCAATTATCGATGATATCATCAAATTTTAAACATCTCTAATTAGCAATTAATTCATCATTAAGTTTTTTTGTTCGTTCTTTTTTTTGGAAAAAGAAAATAACCTAATTTATTTCTAATTTTTATCCAACAGAAGTTTATTTTCGAATGGGTATTCGATGGGCAGCTATAGCAGTAGCGATAGGTTTAATTATCGGATTTTTTTTAAAGACACCAAGAAATAATTGCAAATCAAATGGAACGGTACAAGAAGATCTTCAACAAATTAGAGAAACTTTTGAGTAAGTTATTTCTCTTTTTTTTAAATATCATAAATGAAACAATTTTCCATATATTTTTGTAGAAAAGTGTATAAAATGAATTTTCCTCTGATATATATCAATTGGATATGATAAATACATCGGATCGGATCGATCATTTGAAAATGATAAGCAAAAAGTAGGAGAGATGAAGTTATTCAAATATTTTTGTTGAAGTTAATAAAATTTATGCTAAAACGTCGGATCGGATCGATCATTTGAAAATTATAAGCAAAAAGTAGGAGAGATGAAGTTATTCAAATATTTTTGTTTAAGCTAATAGAATTTATGCTAAAACGTCGGATCGGATCGATTATTGAAAATGTTAAGCAAAAAGTAGGAGAGATGAAATTATTCAAATGTTTTTGTTGAAGTTAATAAAATTTATGCTAAAACGTCGGATCGGATCGATCATTCGAAAATGATAAGCGAAAAGTAAGAGAGATGAAGTAATTCAAATATTTTTGTTTAAATTAATAGAATTTATGGCTAAAATTAAGGACAATATTTTAGCTAATATTTAGGCTATGAGTTAATTATCATTTTCATTCTAACTGCAAACAATGATAATAATTTCATAAACGATATAATAAATTTGTTTTGATTTGCAGCAAAATTTTATTGCGAGAAAAAGAAGGATTAGCACTTGCTGCTTATAAAAATGATAAACTTATAATAGATCTTTGGGGTGGTTTTGCTGAAAGGTATTACTTTTCATCTCTTCAATAATCTTTTTTTAATTTTAATTAATTTGCAAAATTTTGCATAAATTTTCATCATACATTAAAGAAATGATAAATTAATGATTTGAACATTTTTAATAATTTCGACAAAAATAACGTAATTTAGATTTTCAAATAAAGGATTTATCTTTTGAAAATTATTTTCTTAAAAATTTAATTAATAAGTTTTATATGATAAGATATGATTTTATATGATATGATAAGATATAATGAGTTTGTAAGCGTTAAGAAAGAAAGCGTTTGTAAGCGTTTGTAAGCGTTAAGAAAGTTAAGAAAGGCTTTAAGAAATATTATATCAATATGATAAGCTAATTAATTACTCGATATGATAAGCTAATTAATTACTTTTATCTTTATTTTTATACAAAATTTTTAATTAAAATATGGTTAGCATAGCACAGAGATGCATTTCGAACGTGGGAACGTGATACGATGACAGTGGCATTTTCATCAACAAAAGTTGTTGGTGCATTAATTATTGCAATTCTTGTCAGTCGAGGAGAGTTGCAATATGAGGATAAAGTTAGTTAAACTTTTGTAACTTTTTTGTAAATTTATTTTGCTAATTTTTCATTAATTAATTAAATTTGAATAATTGAGGTTGTGAAATATTGGCCTGAATTTGGTGCTCACAATAAGGAAAATATTACTATTCAATGGATCCTTGAACATAAAGTAAGTGCCTTCAGATTAAACCTTCAGATTCAAACTTTAAATAGTTCAAGAGAGAAAATTATTGCTAATCTTCTTAGGCTGGTTTAATTGTATTTGATGATGAATTGACAATGGAACAAGCTCGAAATCATCGTTATATATCACGTATTATTGAAAAGGTTCATTATTCAGTATTCCCTTATAATATATAAAACAAGAGCTTTTTTTAAAAGAAAAAGATCTGTATCAAAATTATTTAATTTTTATTATTATTATCTTTTTATATTATAATCTATGTTGTGTTTAGAATAGTACAAAGAATTTTAATACATTAATTTTTTTGAATGAATTTAATGAATTTAAATTAAAACTGATGATTCATTTAAAAAAACTTATTAGACGAAACCGAAGTGGCCTGCAGGTACAGCAGTAGGTTATCATGCATTAACATTTGGTTGGCTATTAGATCAAATTGTTCGACGTACCGATCCGTTGAAACGTGGTATTGCGCAGTTTTATCGTGAAGAAATTCAAAAATATATGGATGGTTTGTTTTTTTTCCTACTTTACAAAAATGAACATTAATGTGATAAATAATTTAGTGATATCATAAATTTTGCCAACGATTATTTTTGTTAGCAAAAATTATAATAGCATCATATTTTAGTGCAAAAGTTCAATCATATAGTATTTGGTGTATTTTTATCACTAAAAAATATCTTTTTTTGGAATACTCTGATTTCATTAATATTACTGTAATTAATAGAAATTAAATGCTTAAGTAAATTTGCTTCTTTGGTCGTTTATTGTTGAAATAGCCGAGATAAATTAATGAAGAAGAGAGATACTATCTTGGAAAAACTAACAACGTAAAAACATAATTTAGAATCGAATCTCCTTTTTTTCTTTCCTGAAGTAATTTAAGCAACTTTATAAGTAATCATCATTAGTAGTAAAGTTTTAGCGCTATAATTTTTCATTGACACTTTTCCAAATGTGATATGATAAATGAGTGATATAATTAACAAAAATTAATAGGTATGGTTTAACTGCAGATAAGGATTTCTATTTGGGCTTACCTCGGCATGAACATTATCGAGTAGCACGGATTGTTCAAACAACTACATTTGAATTCGTTTATGAAATGGTCACCACTGTGCAATATTTTGCGCTCATATTCAATTGTCTCTTGCGCTTTTTTAATTGCGAAATATATGATACTGGCAAATATCCATTATGGCTTAGTTTCCTAAATGTTAGCTGTCAGTTTTTTTCAAGATAATCTTATTGTTTGCATTAGTTTACTGGAAGTCTTTTTATCTTCCCTCTATCGTTCTACTGTAATATTCCTACAAACATATAATAAATTCCAGAATGAGATGCCATACAATAATCCGGCAGTTCGAGAAATAGAAAACGTTGCAGTATTAGGTATTGGAACTGCTCGAGGACTTGCAAATGTTGTTTCCACTATTTGGAAGGTAATTGCTTATTATTAGTCAATATAAGTTATAGCATAACTTCTGTACTTTTGTTAGCTTTATTTAATTGGATAGAATGGCTAATAATGATTGATAGTTAATAATTTACATTACCTGATGAAGAAATTATGCTGCGAATATATGTACAATTGACTATTTTCTGATGAATGCTTAACTCTTTTCAAAAAGATAAGGAAATTAATAAAGATGGTTTATTTCTCTATGATTCTTTCCAAATTAATTTATCATACAAAAAAAGTTTTGGTATTTAGAAAAATTTAATAAGCGAAAAGGTTTGGAAACGATTAAGTAAGCCGACGGAATATGGGCAAGATAAAATAACCTATTTAATGACCTATCGTGGCCATGGCTTATTCTACAAATCACATCCAATTCGGCAAAACGTTCGTTCGCATTTTAAAACCAACAGAATTATTGAAATGTCATGATCGATTGAAAATGGTTTCACAGCAAACAGCGCATTGAAATACGTAACGTAAAGTGTCACCTAGAAATGAAAGTCCACATTTCATCATCGTTTAATCAGGTTCAAATATGGGCGGGTGCAAGAGAAAATATACTACGTTACAAATTAGAAGTATGACTTCGAAATTCGGATAATTCTTAAAAAGCAAATATTATTCCAATTTATATTATCCCTCAGTAATTTATATTATTCCTCAGTAATCAGTAATGCATTTCCGACTTTCCCAATCTTATTTTCCCATCCATTGCTGAGATATGGTATGAAATACTATAAATTAAATCTCTTGTAAAACAAAGGTAATTATGCATACATTACAGGCATATGTAATGATGCACGCTGGTCACGGAATGCAAAACTTCATCATTGATCCGTTCAATAAGGTCTGATGAATTTAATAATTGTTAACTTTTGCGGAGTTAAATGATAATTAAAAATAATTACGTAAGCATTGTAGATAGTGGTAGTGATGATCCGAAATGCCATAATGTGGAAACGTAGCGCACTCGATGAAAGCTTTGCTTTGGCAAGTGATATTATTCGTACTATTAATATGAATCCTTAAACGATTCAGCTTATATATTATTAGGGATAGGTGATTGCTTTTTTTCGTTTGTTGCACTTTGTTGTGTTTTTATCATTCTCATATCAAAACAATGGATGTTATGAGAAATTTAAGGCTATTATTGCGAATAAACGAAATTGATCGGTGCGGATTTCTGTAAATTTTATGAGATTAAATTAACCGCTATGTCAAGTTGTTAAGTAGAAATAAAATCCTTTAATCTTCAATGTAGTAATGTTAGAAAATGTAGCATAGTGAAGTGAATGCTTAATTTTATAATAATTTGCCAATTTCCAATTTAATTTTTACTTCTAAATTTTAAATTGGAGTTGCATATATGCTTTATAGAGTTTGGCCTTAGTCTATTAATCCACTGTTCTCCATTTTTAACACATAATCGATGATAGTAGCTTTTCACTTAATAAAGGATAAAAAGTGAAAGAGGAACGGAAATAGAACGGACTATCATTTGCTCTTTGTAGCTTATAGGTGTCTAATCACACAGCTCTATTTTATGTTTGTTGAGTACCACACAGCTCTATTTTGTTGAGAGAGTATCCATTTTATGTTTGTTTAGTTTCCTTTATTTTCCAATCATCATTCTTTTTAGCGTTTTTTCAAAAGTAAAGAATTTAATATCTGACCAATGTAACTGATCAATTGTTCAGGATAATAAGTTAAAGTATTTAATTTCAATAATAATATTAGTATTAGGATATATTAATATTAAGTTGTTAAAATTCTGAATACACCTATGATGATGAAGGTGCAGGTCAATCATTTTAACCTCCAGTATTCGAAGTAACTGTTTGAATTTTTTTCCACAGCATTAGTTGATTACAATCAGTAAGAATAGTAAGACTGATAAGATGTTCGAGATTTTGAAATAACAAATATAATAATGTTGATCACACATATATATTCAGAAGATTAAATTCAATGAAATTTAAAAAAAAAGATTAAATCCAAGATTAAATTCAAATGAGCATTCTGAGCAAGCTAATACTAAATCTAATAAGTTCAATGTACTGGGTTAGTTTTAAATGACAAGAAGCCGAATTAATCTCTTTGTCATTTACTTTCTTAATTCTGTTCTTTGTTTCTGCCACAGTTCATGATACACAGAGCGGTAAAAAGAGAAGAATCAGTGTAAAACTTTTTTTTACATATTTTACCTTTATTTCAAAAGAAATGATCTATTATGAGGTCTACGTAGTCACATCCCGAAAAACTACATAAAATTGCTGAAAAAAAAAACCTGAAAAGCCCGCATTTTAATCGTCCCTCGACGACTAATGACTAGAATTGTTGGAATTTCACGAAGTGTATAACGACCAACCGTTTCACGATAACTCATTGATAAAATTTGCTAAATCATTTGATCGGCCTGAAAGCAGAAAATCGGCTATTCCAAAATTCTACTGACGCAAAATAAAATAGCTTCATATTTTGTGTTTTGAACTCAAAAATGTGAATGGTCTTAAATTCCGCTATGTTCATTTCTTTTCGATTTGAAAGCATCGTGACGAGAGAACGTTAATCTGTTATTACCCATGATCGTTCCTACTGCAAAACGATTGCTTTCTCATTTCCACTTTAGAAATATTACTCATAGTTTCCCATAAAATTTAAAAAATCCAATTAAAGTAGTTAAAATTAAAGCAAGCAAAATTATCATTTTTCTTCTAAACTTTCAGCAAACTATTTGGCCATTTGCTTCAGGTACGGAAAAGCAGTGAAGGAGAAGTTACGGTAGGCGAAGTATGAAGAAACATGGTAGGAAAAAATTGCTAGTTTACTTGATGATTAGGAAGAAATATCCTTTTGTCAAGTAGTTCCATTGATCATGCTAGACCCTCTCTCTCGCAATCGTGGATGCCGTTCAGCAGTGAAAATTCTACTATTCTGCTATCTTTGAATCCAATGAATTTTGCGCTTATCTGCTAATATACAAAATACTGGGATCATCATCAAAATGTCTGATTCTCCTTATATGTATAACATGAAGACTAAAACTTTCGCAGACTCTCCGATCACTTACTGCATAGCTTACACTGAATGCAAGACCTGATTTCAGATATAAACAGAGACTGGCGATAACAACATCGGGTTAGATTTTAAACCCTGCAAGTAAATGTACAAATCTACTCGATGTCATTTAAAAAATTATTAGTAAATTGATTTAAAAAAGAAAGTATTTTCGGCGCAGCATATCACCTTAAGCTAATCCTTAACTCCAAATTTCAATGAAGAAAGACCGAGGAAGAATGTGTTAAAAATCGAAATTCGATAATAGAACACAAAATTGGAACAAGCCTAGAAATAATACAAAATGTAATAAAAAAGGAAATTTAGAGGTGTAGAAATGAACAAAACAAAGACAAATCATTTACAGCAAAAACTGTTCTAAACCGAATGATATGAGTTGGACATATATCTGCAAATGATATGAGTTGGACATATATCTCAAACACCTACAGCAAATTTCAGAGTGGTACTTCAATGTATGATAAAAATCAGGAGCTAAGCTCTCAATAACTTACATACGCAACTAGTGAGTAGACGTATAATAAACGAACGAGTAATTCAGACAAATCAACCCACTGGGATGCAAACGATTCAGTTACAGTGCGCTACAATTGTGCACGACAACTGAGGACATGTTATAAAAGTATAATTGAATGGCAAGTATTTGAACTGTTTAAATATCAACATACATAAATATCGTTATATAGATATAATGGATTAAAAGAGCAAACAACACGAGTATATTACAATTAGAATACCTCATGGGAATAATAATTAGCAGAATCTCCGAGCAATGCATAATCTTTCTATGATGAATCGAACATAAAGTCCTAATCGAAGAGTTTCGGAACTTTTACAGCTTCCTATACCTCAAAGAAGTAGTAGATATAACTGCAAAAAGAAAGACTTAAACGGTACTCTGTTTTCTACTGCCTATTTCAGTGGAAGAAAATAAAGGAATCAGAACTGTCGGTCTTCTAATATGGAATGAATCTTCACTGCCTTTCTACATGAATGAGCTCTCTTTTGCTGAAATTGAGCTCCCGAAGTGTACGATAGTGATCCTGCTCGGTGTATATTCGTTTTGGATAATCAAGGACAAGCTGATGATCTGTTGGGTAAAACCCAAGACCAGCAATAAGCACAAATACAGCCTGCAACAGAAAAAAACCTAGTTTATTTCCTTGTGATTGGTGAAAAAGCTTCTCATTTACTAATCGATAATCAATTTTATTCTAATTTTAATTGCAGAAATAATCAGCACAGCGTGATTAAAAGATAGATAAAACAGAAGTGCTGCTATAGTAGGCTTTTTGCGGAAATATACTTTCAGCAGGTATATACAGTGCGGAAACTAAGAAAAGTGACAAAGCGGGTAAACATGTAAATATTGAACTGCAAATATAAACTTTTACAACTTTACCTTGAGAGTAGTTGTGTCTTCTACTTCCATCATTTGACGATTACCATCCGGTAGGCGTAATGATAATAGGAGACGACAGCCACGACCATCTGGATCGCCGACACATTTCATCCACTCATCTCGATCAATCGTTGTTAGTTTACTCCCACTATCTATGATGCCATCAATATCTGACAAATCATTGCCTGGAAAATCACCTAATTTCAAAACTAATTTAGAAAGCGGCTCTATCGGTTGCAATAATGAGACCACGTTGAAGATTCCTATTTTGAAATGAAAACAAAAACTTTCACGGATAGGGAACATTTATAAACCATGAAACTTGCAAACATCTAAATCTCGCTATAGCAAAAGAAGCGTACCCTCACGAGGCTTTTTCGAATTACAACAATCATCATCCATCACTTCGTCCTGCTGTGAAAAGTGCACACGCTTTCGATTTGTGGTTGATGAATTCTGTATTTTTTAGCAAGTAATGAAGTCAAAAAAGAAAACAATAAATATCAGAAAGACGTTACCATATACCAAAATTTAGTCTAAAGATATTTTTTCAAATAAAGTAATGCTTTAATAAATTTCCTTCTTTCTTCTTTTTAAAACTTAATTATATAAATATATAACAAAAAATTACATCCATATGTTGATTATGTCCACAATCCTCTCTCGATATTAACCGGCCGAAATTGCTTGATGTGGGGGCAATTGTTAATTGCTTGTCTCTTGCGTCGAAATCTGGACAAGCATCCAAAAATGTTGTAACTGAAAGCAGAGAGACATATATGGTATATGCAGTTAATCACTTTTGCGCTTCATTTTCAGCCGAAAAGCAATCCATCCATCAAGTAATAAGTAAAATATTGTGATAATCAAAATGATAGAACAAATCTAGAAAGATAAATCTAAGACAATTTACAAAATATGCTTACCTTGATCACAGAAAGACATAGTATCTTTGGCTCCGATTGTGATTAATTGTTCTCCTGTACGTGGATCAACTATGAAAACAGCTGGATATGTATACATTCGATAATAATTACTCACTCTGTTCCCGTCAGCTGAATCTTTATGCACCTAAACGCCTCGATATTATTTTGCATCTATAACGCATTATTCTTTTCGACAGCCTAACACTTGAAAACACATTTGCTCACTTGCCAAAAGACGAAATTTGATCGGAGAAGTTCTTTTACGGATGAATTGGACCATACATCACGATTAAGTGTCTGGCAAGCGAATTCCAAGTCATCTTGCACATTAACAAGCAACCAATGTCCACGCAACTGAGCTTCAGCGCGGACCTGTAGCATTTGTGAGTTAATTACTAAATAGAATTTAACGAACTTTATTATTGTTTGTTAGATGCTTGTTAAGTTACATTTGATTACTTTTAATTTCTTTTTTTTCCGCTGATAAGCAATTTATGATAAACTACAAGCAAGGTGAAATCTATATACAAGGCAAACTGTTTCATATATAAATGCCTCGATGTCATAATTTAACATTAATTAGACTAATGGTTGAATGAATATGGATCATTCAAAAACAAAAGCAACTGCAGCAGCGAAATTGTAACTACCCTCAAGCTTTTCACGCAATGCCTACTTGAATATGTGTTTAGTGTTGAAAGCTTTGAACCTTACATTAGTATTAACTCATTTCGTATTTTAAATAGAAAACCAATTATTAAATCTTTTTTTCTCATTCACTCCTAAATATCATTCTCTACTGATTTCTTTCAACTAAATCACGCTTATGAATGGACATTGCTAGACATCGAAATGCTTCGAAAATTATAATGGCTACATTTTACAGTGTAAAAACATTAACATCATTTTTATTTGTAATTTAAAATCAAAAGTAACTAACAGCATCCCAGTCACCATTGAACATGATATCTATCGGAGGACGAAAAAGATTTTGAAGAGTTACACGCTTAGCAATTGTCGGATCCGACGTGTTATGCCTATTTTGAAGAACTGCCATTCGTTCCCCTGAAATCTACCGCATTAAAATATGTAAAAATTTATCTCACTCTGTTAAATGATAATGCGGAAAGTTTTGCTTGAAAAAAATGACACAGTGTACTCAAAATAAATAATCCAACAAATAATGCATAGCTATCGCTCGACTGCCCAAATAATTAGTAACTTTCACACTAATTTGACGAAATGTTGCTGTGAACAAAGAAAACTACCTGCTTCAATGCGAAAATCACGAGCCATATCAAATACTGAAGTACCATGCCGTCCATTTTGTCGACCTGAAAACGAGTTTTCTGAGAGCGAGCGCTCTTATTGGAATAATACATATGAGACAGCTTGAAAAAATATATAGAACAGTTATATCTACATCACAAACTTCCGTCTAATAAGTTCGAATGAAGTAAAACTCACTATACTGCTGCGCAAATGTCTGCTCAACAATAGCTCCACGTATAGGAGCTATTGGCTCGCGTACATCGCTGTTACCTATTGTTGACCTGAAGGTATTTTGCATCTGTCTCACAATTATCACACTTTAAGTTTCTTAAAAAGCAAACAAATAAATCAGTTCCAATTAAACAGTTAGTATTGCATATTATTAGAATGATTAGCTCGAGAATTGGAAGCTTTCTGTATGTTATGATGCAAAAAGTTAAAACACTTTCAGGCTTCGAGTTTTTTAATAAAACAAGTAAAAAGTGCTTACTAATAACAAATAGGTTATTACTAATTACTTAGCAGTTACACTTACCTCAAAGAATATAAATATTAAACTCTCGATGATAACGAATAAACAAGTTTGTTAATAACATACATATCATTTGAATGGTTAACACGAGGATTTGCAGCTCCACATACGGCACGATGTGATACAGCAGTATTACGTCGTACTACACCCTTGCTGACGCAAATGACATCCGAAGATTCTTCGCCATTTATTGTCGTTGATGAGGATGGTTGAAGTTGTTGAAAATACAAATTTATGGCCAATTCCAAATTACCATTACACATTTCCAAATACTGGGATGCCTCTGCTGCATTCGTGCAACCTGAAAAAAATTTTCACTTTTGTATATTCAATCAATGAAATTTAGTTAAGTCTGTAGCAACATGGAGTTAAAAAATTTTTTTAATATCTAACATCATACATATGTTTATCTTAGGTCAGATTTTTATTGCAAAATATACATCATAACGATTTATTAAGACGCACAGAATGAAATAGTGTTTATAAGAGCTTACCAGTAACAGATCGGAATTGTGCAGCGAGGGTCCCTTCGTTGTCATCCATTTTGAACCTAGCAATTTTCGCTGAAATACTTTCCGCTTTCAGGTAAAATAAGAGTCGACTCACTCCAAATATCTATGGAATGGATGATTTACGATTCCCGGAAAATGTTCAACGATGCGACAGTTAACCGATTAGTTGAAAATGACTTCCGAATGATCCCAACCATCCCAACGCTGTCCAAGTCCTCGACAGTTTCTTCGCCCCCGGTATTTCCCACTGCCATACGTGTTTTCGCAAACCATAGTCAAAGCGTTGCATCACAACAAATTGGTCGTATTGAAATTATGGAACATTGGATTAATTCCTGGTTTCTGTTTCGGAATACGGACTTGCTGATATGTCGCTGGATTCCCGGATTTTACTCCTTGTTCACCATGTGCCATGCTGACTTATTTGAAAATCTTCCGACTGTTTTGAATTTGTGTTTGAACCGGAATTCCGTTATGAATGCTATTAATTAAGCTAATATTCTCGTAAATGATTTTTCTAGGCGAGGACTATCGCTTATGATTTCTCTTAAGAAGTATCAAATGAAATTCCTCCCAAACATTTCATCGCGACATGGGATTTATAAAGACATCGTGCACATTACATTGGTAACGTTGCGATGTCTTAGTGATTGGCTTTTTGGGGAAAATCATCGGTAGATATTAATGAGAATACAAAAGATAGTGAATCAAAGATGATGGAAAATGAAGGAGAAAACTAATTTTTGATTGAATTTTGGAAAGCAACATAGCATATAACAATAGGGAAAAAGGTATGATTTGAGGGGAAGGAAAGATTGAGAAAATGCACGAAAGACACTATTATTGTTTATTTTCGATAGGCTAGTTTGAGAAGAGGATGAATCAGTAAGTAAAAAAACAACCATGCCGAGTTTGCGCTGCAATATATATTTATAAATGTATTTGATCCTTATCGATTGTATCGATTTGGTCTCAAAGTGAATCACTAGATCATTTCGCTGAATCGATCCGCTGTGCTGTTTGAGCTATCCGATGGCTTGACCTTAATGAGACTGCTTTGATCCAGCTATCCGATTGCTTGACAGCGATCAGGATCCCTCAATATCTTCTCAACTTTTTCGAATTTCTCGAAACAAACCCTCATTATTTCTTTGCAAGGAGATATCCGATATCGATATACATAAATGATTTGGCTAATAATTAGCGCAGGTGCGATATAACTGTGATAAATGATAAAGTGGAAATTCATGGTACTAATAATATGATTGAATTTTGATATAAATGTAAAAAGAAATAGAATGAATATTAATTTTTTCATTTTTTAGAAGGTGGAGAAGGTGGTAAATGGCGATAAATGTTGACTATTATTTGAATCGGATACGTTCCACAGTAACTTCAGTAGCAGCGCAAGTAAGCAATGCTTTACCGGGAAATCCGGTAACACGAGATTATGAGATATTATCACAAGTTGGAAGTGCTGGGCCGGCGTTCAATTGGAAAGTTTATGCGGCGCAGAAACGTTCAACTAAAAAGGTAACTATGCTCGAATAGTTCATCTATTATTTGATTGAATTAATTGCAATAACGGATCTCTTATTTATCATATTACTTATTACAACTCTGCTATCATATGTATTGGTCTTTATTTTTTATTTCATTGGTTTTATTAAAACTGTCAAAGCGGGTTATTCGATATTTTAATTTAGGCTGTTTCGGTTTGGTTATTTGAGAAACGAAACTTGGAAAAATGGCCAAGATATGAAAGAGAATTATTCTTGGAAATTATGAAGAGAGGAGTATCGCAACTCACTCGATTAAGGCATCCACGAATTCTTGTTATTGAGCATCCACTCGAGGAATCTCGGTTTTTTTTTCATTCCAATCACTTGTAATTGTTCTTAAAGATTGATCAAATGAACCAGTGAAATTGTAGCTTTGCGGAGATAGTGTGCTGATTTTTTGGAATTGTAATTTTCACAGTTATTTTAAGGAGTGTTTTTTTTCAGAGATTCATATGCTTTCTGTACAGAGCCTGTGTTCGCATCATTAGCTAACGCTTTAGGACGCTTAGATAATATAACTCCTCATCCGGCACATTTAGATGAATTCGAACTTTTGGATATTGAAATTCGCTATGGACTTTTTCAAGTAAAGTGATGTTTTTTTCTTTTTTTAATAGATCTGAGTCTCAAATTAAATTTATTTCCTCAATTATTCACTTTATTATATAATTCTTACTTAATCCTTGTTGAATTATTGCAGGTTATTGAAGCTTTATCATTTTTGCATATTGATGTACGCATGATGCATCGAAATATATCCCCTGAAAGTGTGATGATTAATGAAAAAGGGGAATGGAAACTTGCAGGTTTCGATTTTTCAGCGCAAGGTACACAAGGTACCAATAGTCAGGTGTGATATTTCTCATCATTCTTATTAGATGCAATCGTGAAGTTGCGAAACAGTGCTGAAGTTCTTTATAGATTACACTACTATGTAACGTTCTTTGTTTCGGCTGTTAAACTGTCAGTCTTCTTTAGTTTTGACAGAACATCTGCAATATATTATTTACAAATGAAAGTATTTATGAGTATTAACTACTATAAAGTTCTTTCAATTCTTTAGGTGGTATATGAAATGCTGGAATGGAATCAACGAACGATGTCCGTTGTCCAACCATTGCTAGATTATCTGGCTCCAGAATATGTGATTGGTGGTCGGTGTGACACATATGCTGATATGTTTTCGTTTGGAATTATGGCGCTAACAGTTTTTAATAGAGGAAAGCAACCGTTTGATAACAGAAATTCGTTGGATAATTTTCGCAGAAATATTGGAAAGGTTATGATTTGAAGTTGGTATATTTTCTTTATTGCCATAGATATAATAGTAGTGAACAGATTATCGTTTTCAGTTAAACACATTGCCTGTGTCGATTTTTGTAAATGTTCCTGCCGAAGTTCGTGATGATCTTAAAATGTGCTTGAATCTTACGCCTGATCTCCGACCTGATGCTACTCAATTTTCCAAAGTAATTCTGTTTTTATTTTTCTTTACGGTAATTATTATTTCAGTACACTCATTTGGCGTTTTCCATACAGATGTGAAATATAATTTTATTTAGAAAGGTTTATTACAGAAGTTATTGAAATATAGTTGTACTTTATAGATTATTTACTTTGATGAACCGTTAATTCGAACACTGAACAGTTTGGATTCTTTGTGTCAAATGGACTACACACAGAAAATGAATTTCTTCAAGCAATTACCTCAGTTCTTGGTGAAATTCCCAAAAGTAAATATTAACATACATACTTGAAAACTTTTTGAAAATAAATATTTTTTTCTAGTTTTTAAAAATCTTATGTGTCTATTCATTATGATTCTTGATAATGATAATATAAGCTGTTCATGGGATACGAGTTTTTCAGCGGCCACTTATACAAAAAATCCTTCCACAACTATGTGCAGAATTTATTGCCACAGAATTAGTGCCATTTATTCTTCCTAGTGTTTTTCATATTGTTGGAATAACCAATAACGATGAATTTACGGCAGCCGTTCTGCCGCAGCTAGTCCCAATATTTACTCTTGAAAGACCGTACCAAGTGAGTTTAATGATTTTATAGAGCGTTGCTATTTTGAGCAAAATTTTTATGTTAGTTCCGTGTTGAGAAATAAATTTGTGCGCTCACTTACTTTAATGTTGTAGATTTTGTTGCTGTTTTTGCAAAATATGGATCTCTTATTGCAAAAAACAAGCGAAGAAGATGCCCGTAAATATCTTCTGCCTTTAATTTGTAATGCTTTATCTAGCGAGACTGTGAAAATCCAGGTACATTTATTATATTCATCAATGGAACACATTTCCATTTTCCAAAAATTATAAGCATATGAGCAGATTTTCTGCAAAAAAAAAGTAAGTAATTCTTGCAGGAATTGTGTCTTTCGATCGTCCCGAAAGTTGCCACAATGATTGAAAGACAATCTATGAAAGCAGAAGTTCTACCCAAACTACTATTACTAATTGTTGATGGAGGAGGAGTATTAACTGTGAGATTTATTCGTTTTGTTGATTTGATCAGCGTTTTACTTTTTTTTGCATAATTGTCAATTAATTAATATTAATTCGTTTGCTTATTTATTATCTTAACGTATTAATTTTGGCAAATTAAAATGTATTTTTGTTTTCCTTTTAGTGCATATATTTTACATTCATAGATACGAGTTCAAGCACTATTGTGCATAGGGAAGTTGTTACCCTCTCTTGAGCCATGGATGGTGACGGATCAAATAATTCCAGCTTTGCCCAAAGTGGTTAGTCGAGAGCCAGCAATTCTTATGGCTATTTTGGGTATATTTTTTCTTCAACTTTCTTAATATTGCGACTTCTTAGGCAACCTATTTGGAATCAGATACTAATCCCAGCTAAGAAGTTGTGATAGCCATCTTTTCGAACGAAATCGGATCATATAAAACACTTTACGAGTAGTGGAATGGATTTATGCAGCGATAAAAGTTTTATAAAGGAAAGATACATTTTGTAGGCAAAATTTAGACTAATGCTAAATAGGATTGTTTTATTTCAGGAATCTACAAATTAGCATATGAAGAGAGTCGTATCGGTATAACCCGAGAACAATGCGCCAAAAGCATTTTACCTTTTCTAATTGCTTCTTCTATGGAGAATGCATTGAATATGCCTCAGTTTGAGCAGTACATGGCATTAATACACCGCATCCTAGACAGGGTAATTGTTTCATGTTAATTTGCTCCTTTTTTAAAAAATCTGTTTAATTTGATTTACTTGTTGCAATATTTCTCCTATTACAGATTGAGAAGGAACAACGACAACGACTGCAACAGTTAAGTGCTAGTCAAGAGGAACAGCGTAGTATTGGCGAATTTGCTAGTGTATTTGGACAACCAGCTGTTCAAAACAAGGTGATAATCTCATAATTGTTTGACTGCTACTGATATGATGGAATATTGGTGAAGATTAATGTGGTTTCAGAAACTACAAGATTTATGGTAGAAATTTTATAGAGTTCATTGTCTGGCAGTCTATCAGATTTGGTTATCGATGGATCAACGGATGGAGCACTAAATGGTATTAATAAAAATACTGTAAGTGAAGTGATGCAATTGTTTATCTGTTCATTTAATTCGCAAGTCGGAGAATTGTTTTGAAAGCCAGTCATTATTTACTGTTCAATTTAATTGATTGATGATTAAATTGAGTTTACGTTTTCGATAACATGACAAAGTTTTGTATTTACTTCCGTTTGAATTTTATTTTAGGGACTGTTAAGTCTTGCTGATAAGAAACGATTAGCGGCCGCACAGGAGCAGAGCCTGCGAATGCGCAACCAACCGAAACTTTTGCAACCAGTCAGTTCTGAGGAAAGCATAAATAAGAACCAATTTACATGCTCAAATTTAGTTACCTCACCAATCGATTCTGCTCTTGAGGAAGTTGGTTGCAATTCGTTGATACCCTCTACTTCCATTTCAACACATCAGACCTGCATAGATTTGTCTGATTTTTTCCCTGCATCATCATTCACCAAAAAGGTTTGTTTATTTGCGTGTGTAACACGAATTCTTTTAATTGCCCGAAATAGTATGCATAAAGACGATGTTCGATTCTTGTATATTTTAATATAATTCCTTTTCATCATATGTTTCTGTTCCTGATGAATAGCAAATTTTCTGACAATTCAGGTCGAAAATGAAAGTATACTGAACAATTCGGATAGCCCTCTTTGGCCAGATCCATTCAAAACGGAACCAGACAAATTGACATCATTTATGTTTCAACCAACAGTTAATATAGTCAATTTACCTGATCCACCAGTTGTACAAAATCCAGTGGCTAGAAGTAGTTCAAACCAACGGATGACAGCTAATCGAACAGGAAATGTGTCATTGAATGAAGTGGACCGAAAATTAAACATGACTGCTTTGGATGATATTGTGTGTTTTCCGGCTAAACTTAATGGTAAAAATAATTTTTCGCTGAACTCACAGATCACTCATTCTAAACAAAGTAATCTAACCAATGATATCTTTGATGATCTGCTGGGTTGAAATGATTGTATGTACTTTTATATAGGAGGACTTCTCAAATACTTTCTGTGAATTTTATGCCTTCAGTAGGTTGCACTACTAATATTTTGGTTTTATTGAAACGTTGATCCTTCGTTTTGAGAGAGATCTTTTCCCAATAAAATCATAGCTGCTTGTTTTTTGGAATGTGTTAGAAATGAAAGCTTAACAGGTTGCCATCATACTTTCTCTTTTAGTTTCCATAATGTTAGATGAACTTGCGGCTGTCATAGATCTTGCTCTGTGATTCTGCATGCTTTTCGATTACATATACTTCTTCCAGCATTTCATTTACTTCGGGTCTATCTAACCTTGTCCACTAATTTAATTTTTGTAAATGTAACTATTGTTTTCTTTTTTCCTTCTGGTGTTTTAGCATACGCACTGATTCTTTATTGTTACGAACATAGTTCATTTCTAATTGTGCTTCTTTATCTGTACACATATAATTTTTATGCCAGAGGTAAAACTATAACGCTTGTATCTATTGACATATAATGCTTTGCTATTACCACTCATGTCTTCGAGTCATAAAGTTTATGCGGTAACAATTGAAAATACAGGAAAGATGGGGAACTTCGGGAACTATTGGAATTAACGGTTTCTTTCTGTTGTGGAGCTTTAAAAAAGATGTTTCCAATTTTGAGAAAAATGTAGACGTGCATTAGGTGGTTTATCTTGAATCATTAAAAGAATTAATTTCACTTTAAACGATTTCCATCGCAGTAATTAAAAATAAGGTACCCAATAATTCTTACCATTGCTGATATTGAAATGTGTCTTGTACGGATTACACGACAAATACGAATTGAAATGAATTACACGACAATGCACTGCTCGCTATTTCCATTCTCCTTTTTCCCCTTTTTCATTTTTATCGTGCAGTGGAATGATTCTGGTGGTATTGCTATAATTGCGCACGAAAACAATATTAAAAGAGCGCCAATAATAAAATAAGGTGTTGCATTCATATGTCGAAAAACGATGTCAATAGCTGAAAATTTGAAAATTTAGGATGACGGGCAGTAGTATACTACTGGAATGAATCACATCAGTTCAGGTCACTTTCATGATGGTATATTATGAAATTGGAATCTAAGTTGTCTTTCCATCAATTTGCGCATTTACTTCAGATGAAATAAATTGAAAACCATTATCTTTCATTCAAAATCCATTATAACAGAAGATATTTTCAGTAAATTAAATTTAAATGATAATTTTATTTTATCTTTTTATCCTAGTTGCTATCACACACTAGTATAATTAATTACTTGTCTAGTTTTTGAGAAATATCTTACTTGCACTAATTGGAATACCAAATAACATTCCAATAGATATCACCAATGGATGCAATAAAGCAATTCCAAAATTTATAAGGAAATTAAACCCTGAAAAAAGAGAACAAAAAAATAAGTTTATTTGACTTATTAAATGAGCAATTTGATTGTGAAAGAATCACAAATTAAATTTAATGTCAATTAAAAATTGAATTTAATATAAATCTGAATTATTTTATCAATTAATTAATAGTCACCAAACACTTCTTGAGCCTACAGTACCAAATTTGAAGAATTCCTTTTAACGATTCCTTTAAACGAAATGTTTAACATTTAAATTATAATATCGTCATAAATTTAAAAATGAGAAATTAATGAAATTCCAAATAAGTAAAAACCATCTTACACAAGGATAAAAATGCAACACCGAGCAGCGGAAACCATGGTACATTTGACCAGGTAAACGTTTCTATACCATTTATCAGTAGTGTAATCATAGGCAGTGAATTAAGGGATGCGTTAAGTAAGCCTAAACCACTCATGAAAAGTGATACCTGCCCAATTGTCGCATCACCGATTACTTTTTTGAAGAGAACCTAAGATAGAAAAGAATTTAACGATTAATACCAAAGAAAAATGAAATGGATGGAAAAAGCGCGGCGGAAATAAACAAATTTTTCAACAACTTCCACTGCTTTGCATGAATTACAAATGTTAAGATATTTTCTTAGTCCGTACAAATTCTTTATAAAAAGTAGAAAAATAAATTTAATAGTTTTTTCCCTTTCAACTTTCAATCGCTTAAGACAAAAGGATGATAATTAGGAAATTAAAAAATGAAGCTCAGATATTCTTCGCAAGATATCTGTCAGAATTTTAGAAAAGAATCCAATGAAGTTGAATCCAAAAGGAGCGGAAAACTTTAAGCTTGTTTAACCTTAATTAGAAGTTATAATGAATGGTTAGTTGAAATATTTATAAATGATTCAATTTGGTTAAGCGACTAATTCTGATTAAATTGAACTTCATTAAAAGAACAAAAGGTAAGTAGTGTTGTAAATTTAAAAACAAATTCAAAGCTAATCAATGAATGAAAATTAAGGTATGATATCGATGATATCATAAAATTTAGTTTGTGCAACAAACGAATGATTAACCTTATAGAGTGCAGCAGATAAGGCGGAAAGTAGTGATAAGGATATACCAAAAATATTGCCAACAAATTCCTTATCTAACGAAATTATAATAACACCAATTATTGCTGCCGCTACGGAAATTAACTAAAAATGTAAATATTCTACAAATCAATATTTCGCAACTTCAATTGTAATTTTAATTCCAAATTGAATTTTAAAATAATTCAAATTAGACTAGTAAAATATTAATTAAGATTAGAACCATTTCTGCTATAAAATTTATAGTCATTTTGTCAGATAATTTAGAATTACATTATATATTAGCAAATAACGGAAATTCGATTAATAAACTTTATCACTTAATTGCAATTAGTAGGTATATTGCATAAGGAGCAACATATTTTTTGAAATCTTTGACAATAATGACTAATGTTAAAAATTTGAAAAAGACACAATACTCGAAATGGAATGAATTGGTCATTGAGGATGAACCATCCAAAAATAACCACCATAGCGGTATTTGAACTCATTATCGTTGATGTTGCACTTGCCGAAATATGGCCTAATGACTGCGAATATGAATAGTTTGCGATAAGCCAAAATATTAGGAATAAGATTGTTCGCATAAAATATGATCCTATCCAACTATCTTTTCCTCTTCCGTATACCATTAAAGCTTCTCTGTAAACATTTTAAATTCAAATCTAAAAAAATTGAATAAGTGAATAAATTAATGAATTATTTTCTGAACTATAAAATGTATCCGATAGGAATTCTTTTTCATTTCCCATATGATTTCAAATAATTACATAACAATATCTTACACAAATATTCCTAAACTATTTAACAGTGTTGGATAAAAGGAAATAAACTTACAAATGTATATCAGTTAGAGATGAACGACGAAATAATAAAGCAAATATTATATAAACAGGATAGCATGCGATCATAAAATTAGTATTAAACCAAACCATAAAATATGGAGCATAGAAGTGTTGTGAATTAATTACCCATATTGATTTAGTAAATTGTGTACTTAATGCCCAGGAGGATGCTATTGCAAGCATTATTATACCATTAAGTATAATCTGAAAATATTTATTGAAATTTTGAATATACAAAAATTTCTAATAAAATGAAAGAAAAGAGAGGCATCAATTTTTCTTCTCAATATAACTTACTTGACGCATTCTTTTATGAGCGATATTTGAGCGGTTTGTTTCATCCAGTCTATTTTTCGATTCCATTTTCATGATTTAATTTTGTTGCAATCTGTAAATGTTGAAATTATTCAACTGTCAAACAGCATTTCAATAATATTTTAGAATAATACAATATTTGCATTTACATGAAAAAAAAGACATATTGAAATCATAATATATATTCATTATATGATATAAAGTACGCATCTATTCACAATAGTTTCGAATAATCAAATTCTGAAAAGAATCGAAAATCCATTGTAGTATATCGGTCCATTACAAAAGACTTTATGTTAAACATAATCTGCTTAGGTTTCCATTCTCGCAAAAGGCGAAGGTCAAATCCAATGACTGTGAAGATACTTACTTTGCTTTTAAACAAATGTCTCATAAGAAGTGGAATGTTGACTTAGATATTTTGAAATAATATTTTGATTTCTCATCTTTTCCGCCTTCTACACACATAACATAAATCTATCATTAATCTAATCAATGATTAGTCAGTCAATCGCTAAGCTATCGCATTTACACCTTGTCTCACAATTGCCGTCATTATCAATGTCACCAAAGTCGTCTCTTACTGACAACAGATATTGACCCTTAGCTTATTGCTTTCTACTAATATTTCATTTTTCTTCCTATCACATTGAAAAATTAGCCTGATTTTGCAACTAAAGAAAATAATCGCTGAAAAATTAAATCTGAAAATGTTTTTCCAAATTTTTTATCAGTCAATAACGAAAAGAAAGTTTTGAAATTTAGAGATATCATTTCATTTGAGAAATTTTTGAACTTTTCATTGAAATGTTGACCTTTGATCATTAAAAAAATGAAAAAATTGCTGATAATACGATATGGAATATAAACAAAAATAGAATATTTTTCAATTTGATCGCAGAATAGCTTTGAAATCTTATCACTCATTTTATACAACTTTATAATTCTTCCCCATTACATTCCTTGTTCTCTCTTATACAACATGGATGAAAAATAAAATGAAAAGCTAAAATTTCTACCAAAGAAGTTTTTCTTTCAAAGTTCTTAAATCTTTTACAAATGCTCAATTTGTGAAGTAATTCATTTGAACCTAAAAGTTCCATCAGTAATCAGGAATCAAGTTCCATCAAGAAACTATTCAGTGAGAAATTAGCTAACATTAGTTGATGATTGTGCCAAATATTGCATTTCACACTTTAATTGACAAATATATAAAATCATAAGAAATTCAAGAAACTATTCGGTGAGAAAAGGAATCTTTCATTTGTTCTTTTGTTTCGCATTTCTTCTACAATAAAATTCGATTAATGAGATTAATCGAAACAAAGACAATAAGAAATGAACGCAAAGTTTTTCCTCATATGATCCTGAAAATTCGAAATAATTCATTAAGATTGATAGAAGTTCATCAAAAAATAACTATTAGACGTAATATTGTCCGGTTTGTGAAAAACTAATTTTCTGTTTTCGGCTAGTAGAATAATTAATTAACCTTTCCATTCATGCAATATAGAAGGAAAATAATTGAAATTAATTTTATTGAAAGCATTTTAATAATAAAGCATCTAATATCAATTCTCGTCATCCTAAAGAAATTTTGGAATTACAAATGGCGTTGAGTAGCAGAATAATTAACGAATAATTCAGTAATTCAAATTACTTTCTTCCATCAAAAATCATCTTCTGATTCTTCAATGATAGATATTCCCATTTCATAAATTATTTCAATTTTTCTTTTGTAAATGAAAAGCGGTCACTTGTTAGAAAATTTAACTAGGTCGAATAGATTTTTAAAGAAGCGGTGGCACATAGTTGTCTCATATGTCTATGAAAAATCAAAAAAGAAAGATGTATTCAATGCTGTGAGTTTTGCAATGAAATTTTACAAAACATAATGAGCTTAATACCACATACCAAATATCAACTAAGAATGTTCTTTGCTTAGTTGAAATTTTCATTGATTAGTATAAATGCAATCATCTTTCAGTGAACATGTTAGAAATCAAACGATCGATTACTTCGATCTATTGGTTTCATTTCACTGCAGAGTGTTAGATTTATTATCGGATCAATGATTGTTGTACTTTTTAATCTGGTAAATGTTGTTATAGAAGGGATTGTTAAAATTGTGAAAGTTTGTTTTAATTTTGAGAAACTCATTTAGAAGACGATTCAGAAGGTTGCGATTCGTCTAAAAGTGGATCTTCATACTAGCATATTTTGCATCTTTCTGGGAAAATTGTAAATTTATAAGTTATCTATAATCCTTTGTCATTTAACCTTCAAATAATTTCCGTATCGTTTCTATTACTATATCGAATTATGCGCTATCGATAGCAACCTGCATAATGCTAATTAAGATGAAATTATGCAATTCTAGCGTTTTTTCGCTGCTTTTATACTGTCACCTAAAATGATGAAATTAAAGTGAAAAACGGCAGAGAATAAATTAATAAAAAAATTGGAATTACAAGGAAGCTTCCAAGTTTGGATTTTGGAAACGAATTTATGTAAATTAATTAGATATACATTTGATGATACATTGTGTTAAAAAAATGATATGAATGATATATGTAAGTGATGGAAGGCAGGTATATTTCTGCTCACTGATCAATTGAAAATTTAATCACTTTTATCACATACTATGTATATATTGTATTCTCCGCTTTGAGAGCACTATTTTGTGCTACCAACGATTGTCAAAAATTCCATTAATAACCTATATGGTAACTAGTTAGTTGTCCAGTTATTATCGGATGCGATATTCCATCGGTTCTATAATAATATTGTTTACCTGCGGAGGTATTTTTTATAGAAAAAAATATTTTAAATGGATATATTTTATATGATTTTTGAAGCCTAAATTGAAATGTTACATTTAAAATTTTTCCCTACTATTAAGTGCACAGACTTACATGTAATATATACACGTATTACTGAATGACATCAGTGACAATTACGCCAATTGCTACAGTTGAAATTTTTTACTTAATAAACTTGCTAAAATGTTTCTTACAACATCTTTACAACATCTTTACAACATTTCTTACATTAACTACTGTTATCGAAGTTCCATATAAATCATCATGTAAATTAATATTTAAAGCACAGAGGGATATTTGATGCATATATTTCTGCCTAAGGTTGTTGTCAGTTTTGAGATTTGCAAATATTAGCAAGCAAAGAATACAATGAATATTAAGTCAACGTGATTATTCACTACTATCAAGTATAATTAAACAGCATTGCTATAAAAGAATTATAAAAGACACTTTACCAATTTAGATTTTTCCACAAAGTAATTAGCATGAATGAAGCACGTGTTTAATGTACAGTCCTACGTAAACTCATTACTTCTTATTTATCTTCGATTTTATTATAAATAATTCTCTTTTATTTTTTAGCTAATTTATAAGTACCTTTTCTGCATTTCTTTCTCTTAACAACACTTCCTGACCTTTTGATTTATTGGCAGAATAGCGATGAAACGAAAATATACAATTAGTCTCAAATTTACATATTTTTATAAACTAAACTAATGAGATTAGATGAATACATATTAGAATTGAAAATTTTACAAACTTTAAATTAAAAATAGCAAGAAAATCTTATTTGTGAGTAACTGAAAAAAAAGCTCAATATATGCATACATGGATTAATGGAAATCGATAAAACAATCCATGCCATAGGTCACCCATCGTACCTTGACATAATTGTTTTATTATTATATAATTATCATGATTAGAAAATTTTAATTTCCCGTCTCTAGTATAAGAATTCTTATTCTATTGGATGGAACGTTGCAACCAGTTTCTCGCACTATTACCATGAATTATGCGATCAATCGCAACGACATCTGTCGATAGACTTGTCATTCCGGCATTACATTGATCCAGAAAATGATTAATTGCTACTCGACATCGTTTATCACAAAATTCGAATAATTTCACATAACCAATCCAATCCTTCCAGTTATTGAAAATTTAAACAATCGAACCATTAATTATTTCAATAGCATCTAATTCCAATGATTATAAATATCGCAAATCTTATATCATCTCATTTCCGCTTCATTTGAGCAAAAAAAGGAACGAAATGATTTTCCGAGCAAAATGTTTATTGGGAAAAAAATAATTAGATGTCAAAAGACCTGGAAAGCGTTATGACAGATGATGAAAGCCTGGTTATTGATAAAAATATGAATAATCAATGAGTGATTAATTGATTAAACATCTAATCGATATATAACAGAACAACATTGTAAAAGTATTAAGATATTTTGATGGTAGATAGTGTTGGGCCCTGCTAGTGCCCATTAATAATAATTAGTTACTAGTTGAATAATACTTGAAAATGATTGGGGAAAAAAAGAAAACTGGCGAGTTGATGAGGTTCCATTTAAGGACATCACTTGAGGCACATATACACCTCGAAGCAAAACACATACAAACAAACACACACACACACACACACACACACACACACAAACATATATACATGTTCATACAAACATTAACTTCCTTTTTCCACCTCAACGAATATTTCCCGCTGATCAATTTTTTCATTTAATAAAAAAAAAAAAAACATTTAAAAAAACCCGAAAATTTCTAAATTCCCGAAATCTTGATATTATTTTATGATATAACCTGAAATGAATAGTGACAATGAAAATAATCGAACGATAGTTTGATTTCTTTTCATTCTCCTTTTTTTTTTTCGTTTTAATGATGATTACTGATAATATCAAATGATAACGGTAAGTTAAATCACCCGCGAACGACGACGCAAACAGTTTATGATAAAACGAAAAGATACCTTAAAAAAAAAAAAATTGCAAAAAGAACAAAAACGAACGGATGAAATAATACAAAGAAGAAAATTAAAGATGGAGGTAGTACAAAAATCACTGTGTAATTTTCAGTATATTCAAATTGGAAAGAAAAGTTGAAATTGAAGAAAGAGAATATAAAGGAAAAAAGAAGAAGAACTAAGTGGAATACTAACTGAGGGTAATCAATAGTTACTATACAATTTCAAAAGGAGAAAATATTCACAAATTATAGATAACGAATTCATCTGCCACATTTACTCATATTACGGAACAGACTTATTTTAAACATACTATAAAATGGATTGAGAAATTTTCCGAACAACATGAACATTTGAAAATTTGCTTTTTCATAATTATGCACAATCTTCGATTACTAAAATTTAAGCATCATAATTTGGCTAGAAATAATGGAACTAGCAAACCAAGAATAATAGTAGGTTAGGCAAATGAAAACATTATTTCTCGTCTAAAAAAAAACCAATAAACCAACAAGTAAACACCGAAACAGAACATCAGAAGTCCGTAAAAATTTTCGTTAATAGTTTAAAATTATAAACGAAAAAAAAACATATCCTGAATAATTTTAAATCACCGGTTCAACAAGGAAAATATTAACTCGATAACAATTCATCGGTATCGAAATAAATCACCGGTAAACTGTATAGTTATAGAGCACTTCTATAGATCGTAATGAATCTAATTAATGTTATAAAAGGAAGGAAGAAAATCAACAACTACTGTTAATGTTTTCTTTGAACTGCTATGCATACAATGAAACTGTACATACAGTTCATATAAAAGTTATGAAGAAAGAGAAATGGATCAGCGAATGAATGCTTCCTTGATTCATTTCTTGAATTAGATTTAGATCGATGAATTAATCAATTTCATATATAGCATAACAGTTCATTGCAGACAGTTTTATTCATTAAGAAAAAAAAAGAGAGAATAAGAAAGATACAAATATCAAGTTATGAGGACGATACTGCTGTACTGCTGACCGTATAGAAAATAATCGTACTTTATGGCCAAAAAGAATAGAAAATGTCAACAATGAATAGAATAATGGTGATACTGATGGTGATGACAATGATAATGATGATAATAATAATAATAATAATAATAATAATAATAATAGTAAAAACAATAGCGATAATAATGACAATAATTTTTTAATATGATAGCCATTCGTAACAATAAGAATGAATACAATGATATCATAATACTGTTGTAATGAGGAAGGGTAGAAATAAGAGAGAAAGGGAGAATGGGTGAAAGAGAGATAAAGGGAGAAAGAGAGAGAGGAAATAATACAACAGTATAAAAATAAACTATATCACAACTTCACTTTTCAATGTCTTATTTACACCCTATTATTTATTTACCCAAATTTTACACGTTTTACATATGTAACACCAATTGATCATGGAAAACGAAGAAGATACAATTATGATATTATTAATGAATGATATTGAGTGATTAGTAAACGAATTTATTTTGTTTCAATTGTGATAAAAGGTAAAACTTAATGAATTTCTCAGGTAATGATTAAAAAATGAGATCAAAAATTTTTTCGAAAAGGTTTAACAGAAATATAAGTATTTCAAGATCGATTTTCGCTGTTAAACAGGTTTCGAGATATAAAGTAAAAGAAAAACGCGTATATATCCCCCTATAATAACCGATGACAGCAACATAAAAATCAATCAATCAATTTAAAAGAAGAAACCTTGAATTGGAATGAGGTATTTGAGGATGACCCATACAAACACACATCGCTATCACACGTCATTAATATTTAAGTAGTTTTGAAGAATTCTTTCGGAAGTGCTTCGGATTGATCGGGATCAACACGTCCCAGGAACACGGTGACTGCATTCTGGCTAATTGTTCTCAAGATCCTCAATGATTCCGGAAGACGTTCGTAACGCGCACGCGCTTCATGACCATATACTGATTCCATATAACTGAAAAAAATGTTATGTCGTATCAAGGATTAGAATAATTTCATTATTTTGATTTCTGGTTTGCAGTGTTCCATTTAGGTACAGAAAAATAATCCTGTTGATGTTGCCACAATTACGCTTTTAAAATAATTTAACTTTTTCGGTTTCAAAGTATTATTCATTAAACATCAAGATAATGCAGATACTTTCGAGCAAACTTATAAATTCAAATTTTCAGCCAATTTTTAACACTGTGTGAATCGAACCGTTGATGATTAAATAAGTAAGCACTCCGAAGCGGATCTGACATCAATTATAAATTAGAATTATCGGTGATATGTCAAACGGTAAAATATCTCGAAATAAAAGAGGAAAAGCAAACAATCATGATGTTAATTATTGTTAGTACATTACTACCATTTCTTATGAAATATGAAGATCATGGATGGTAGAGATACAAGAATACATATATGTATATATTACATACCGGTGCAAAAGAGCTTGATATTCTTGACAGTGCCGGACAACAGTAATGCGATCAGCTGGATCCAGAAGAGCATCACGACTTGAATCGAACAGCAGAATGAGAACAATTAAATCAATAGCAAGCTCATTATTTCTAAGATCTGGATGCAACGATTCACAAAATCTGAATAACCTTCAGTATTATATCAACAACTACTAATAAAATGTTTCTTTTTATTATTACACAGCTAATTATTACATAGCTAATCTATTTTCTCTTTAGAATCTTGTTTTTCTTTCGCATTGATAATATGCCATTCAAATAATATTAAGCTACCTTATGTTCACTGAAATAACATACTTCAAAAATCCTTCTTTTTGACGATCACGAAGTCCCTCCTTCAATTGATCGAACATTTTCAATGATATTTTACTATCATCTGAAACGACTGGTGTTCGCCAACATTTTTGATCCATATCGAAACGTGTCACACCACGCATCGTCAACATTTCCACCATTCCTCCTGAAATGGAAAGTGAATATCATATGATCAGTACATGATAGAGAGTTTTAATTTTGCAGTGATCTTAATCAAACATTCAATAAAGAATGAATGAATTGCTACTGCATCCTCCATTTGCATATTGCTTCTCCAAATTTGGTGTTAAAATAGAACTTACTAAATCTTACTGTTCGGCCAAAGCCTGCAAAATAAAAACATTAGCTTCTTTTGTTGTTAGAAAAGCGTGAATTATATCAGACCAAAACTTCTTAATATTTGTCACTATTTTACATTTTCTTGGAAAAGCAATATAATTTTGACTCAAGTTTACGATTATCTCTTTCCTTCCAACAGCTCGCTTTGTCGATTGAAATCACTCATAATTTCTACATTTTAACTATGCAAATAATAAAATTACCTTCAGTATAGGCGCAACTGTCGTATATCAGTTAACCACTGCATTGCTATTATGAAAAAAATAATAACATACCTTTTAACAATGCAAATTTTCCATCTTGCGACAAATCGTTGAACGCCGGTAGTTTTTTTGCCATTTTAACCAATCTTCGCATCGTGATGTCAATGATATTAAGGATATCGGTAGGATCATGAGTAACTTTCTTCAAATATGCCGCTTTCCGTGAATCTTCGATTGGCTCATTCATGCATGCAAATGCATCTCGAACCTGCAAAAATAATTCACAACAAATACTTCCTGTTTTCTGAATCCTTCTTTTCCTCACGACATTAACAATTTCCTCATTTTGTATCATTTAAGAATTGGATAAAAATGATTATAAAATGATCATTTATTAAAGAAACACTAACGATATCCAGTGCGCGAAGTTCGGCTGGATTAAGCTGATAATTAACTCGAGAGTCACTTTCATGGTAAATTGCCTGCTGAAGAAAAAGGCTAATTAGATAATAATAAACGAGAATAAAGCTACACAATTTGATATGATAAAAAAAGAAAATGACTTTAAAATGACTTTACAATAGATGAAATAATTTGGTTGCTTAAAATTAGAAAGCAATATAGCGTATTCTAAGGAGTAACATAAACTAATTCATAAACTGAATGTTACTAAAATCATATTATACTGAATGTCGGATGCGGTATATTTCAAGAGGAAAAATATTTAGAAGTTATTAAATTTTCTACGTAAATGAACACGATTTTCAAAATGGTTTATAGTAGAATCTAGAAAAAATCTTCAAGAAAAGTAAAAACGAGCTTTCAAAGTTTCACGTTCGATGCACAATTTTGATGAATCAACAATGAGCTCATCGTGTATCGTATCGTGCATACACTTCACTTTTTTTTCGATATCTGGAGTTAATTTATACGTTGCTCGTGGTAAATTAGATGTTGCTGCACTCAGTTCTGTATAATCTGTCATTGCTGAAATTCATAAATTCTAATATTATGATATAAAAAGATATTTGATAAGTGAAGCTTTTCAATGAATGAAACTTTTCGTTTACGTACGATACTATGATTTATTAAGAGAAAATTACACATTAATCTAAAATTATATTCTTAATTAGCCAAAATCATAAAATCATAAATTGTAAATAGAAAATTTTATTTTTCTACGTAATAATAATTATTTGGGAAATGATACTAGCAACTAACGAGTGCATTGGATCAGTGATGGTCGTATGATGCCATGACTGTTTCCAATGTTCATCACTGTTTCCTGTTCAATCGGTGAATAAATATTTCGTTTGATATCATCCAAAGTACTGGAAATGGATTGGGAAGAACATGGATCTGAGCTAGAGGATGGAACTGGTGGTACCAGTGCACCGCCTGCTTTAGCCGCTTTTACCAACGCTTGATACTCTTCCATCGACATCGTCACGTGTGGTTCTGGACCTAATATTATTCAATATTATCACTTAATTTTAACTTCAAACATAACTTCAAACATAACTTCTGTAATATAAGCGGACAACGCGAAATTTCCTTCACTTCCATTTTTGGTTTATGAAATGGCTTTCATTATTTTCAAATTTGAGTTTCAGTAAAACCTTTTAAGATTATACGAATTTTTTGAATCAAATCACAGTGAGAAATTTTTAGATGAAGACTAACAAACTAGTACCTTTTGGTGAAAAAGCATCATTAGCCCGGGCCAATGATGACAATGCTGAATTCGGTGGTAACATCCCCGAACCACAGCCATTCCGTCGTAAATTTGCATAGGCTGCACCCGCAGCTGCAGCTGCTTGCTGCCGTTGTAAGCGCATCAAATTTGATTCATACTGAATCATTATAAATTTTTTCCATAGAACAAACATGAAAAAGTTTTTCAAACGCTTTTTTAATTTCACCCTAATTCCCATCACTAAAAAGAGTAAGAAGGAAATAAATGAAAAATAAATAGAAATAAAAATTTCAGGCAATAGATCAAATATGTATGAAATGGGTTAGATTTAGAAGAAAGTATCTAAGAATAAATTTTAAAAAAGAAATGATCTGAAACTAATTGAGATGAAAAGTGATAAACTGAAAATGAAAATGATATAAAGTGAGAAATAATCCGTAAACAGTTTTTGCCGGTTATTATAAGTTTTTTCTTCATCTTTATCTTTCAGGATTTTAATAATTGAATGAAAAAAACTAGAAAGTAAACAAAACAAATTACACATTTAAAAAAACTCATAAATGGAATACTAATATTTAAATGAAAGAAAACAACATACGGCATCACTACTGGTATCGAGTTGAGGAAGACCGATAAGAGTACCGCGTGTTGGGGAATCAGGTGATGAGGAAGATAGCACTGAGGGTGAAACAGTCGAATTAGTAGGACTTAGAATCTAAAACAAATTTATCAACAGTAAGCAAAAAGAGAAATAGCTTAAAATGTGTAATAATATAGAAATTTCAATGAAATTCTATAATCCATGCATAATATATGATGATAAACTTGAAGTGAGATTAAACTTAGACTTATTTCGAGTCAATGTAAGTAATTATATGATGATTTTCTTAATGAAATGATATGAACATTTCACTGATAGACTGATAACGATAATACAAACCGTATGAACAACGGATGGACTGACAAGCGTCGAATCTGACTCCCTGCGATGGATCATCTGAGCTGCACTGAACATATTTGCTGAAAATATCTGCCAGTATGTGTTTTTGTAAAAGTTCATTAACCGTTCAAAATTTATTACTCTATAATCAATCCCACTTAATTTCACTCAAAAATAGTTATTCTGAAAATATAATCCTCATATATAACGTCTTACAAAATTATAGAATAATACTGAAGCGATTAGCGAAAATACTGTAACATATCAATGTTAATCATATATGGATATTATTGCACTATTAAAATCTTGCAGATATATAATATACAAATAATTTCCGGATATTCGAAATAATCCAGAAAGTTTTTGGTCATTTGTAAGGTTTACTATCAGCGTATAACAATGATTCATACTGTAGAACATGATTATATTTTTTTAAAGTTTATTATAGAAGTCTACATGTGATGCATGTTAATCTCAAAATCTTAAAAGAAACCTTACAAATGATCAAAGTTCATATACTAATTGTACTCTATAATATTGGATGATAAGAATTCTACAAGTACAATAATCAATAATTGTGAAACATACGTGGTGTACTTGATGATGAAGTAGTATTGTTTGGTTGATTCGAGGTAGTAATATTAATTGGCGTTGATAATTTTCTAGTTGTATTTGTAATGGGTGTTGTTGCATTAGTCGCACCACTGCTATTAGCATTTGTATTACGATTCTGCTGTTGTTGCATATGATTCAAACGTGAATTTTTCCGCCTTCTTAATTGCTCCTCATTTAAAATCCATTCCTTTTTCATACCTACCTGCAATAAAATGATTTCATGAATAATTTTTTTATTAATTCAAATTATCCAGAAAAAAACAATTCCTGATATAAATTCATCATAATATTGTTTTCTCTATCTTAATAATTTGATGCTTTTTATGTTACAATATTATGATAGCTTTCGGATCGAAATTATTGTTCCGTAATGATGCCTAGTTATCAATGATTAACATTACGAATAGATTTTTGAAACAATAAATTGTAATAAGCCATTACAGCAAAACATTTCCGTAGCCGGCATTTCTGGCAAAATCGACGGCTTACAGAATTGATATCACAGTCATCCGAATATGGACATTTAAATTCCTAAAATGAACAATGAACAATTAATTTTAACGATCAGTGAAGTCATTAACGATGATAATGACAGGTATAATCGCTGATAAATTCCTCGGTTACGCTCTCCACAATATCAGAAACTTGACAATTTGAAATGTATTCTTACAAATAAAAAGGCCAAAGATAAACCATAAAAATAAGGGAGAAAATTTTAACCTTAGGTCTTAGGGCATTCCTTCTGAAGAAAGCTTTACACGATTCGCATGTAATAACATTGAAATTATAACCCGTTGCATGATCACCACATACACGACAAGTTTTTTGACGGCGTCGAGCTTCCTGCAAATCTTTCAAAACAAAATTAATAAGAAACAGTTGTACACTTTATAATGCTTTGTTTGGGAATAAATTTTAAACAATTATAAGGTCAAAGTACAGGAAAAATATTAAATCGTTGTAAGATAAAAATCGATGCAAAAGATTACTAGATCAACAAAAAACAGAAAAATCAGCAGCAAACACTAATATCAAATTGCAATAATTCAGAATTTCTATTTAAAATATAACCATGCTGTCGAATTGTAAGCGTTAATTATATTTTTCAACGAAACAATTTCAAAATTCATAAATTTTCACGGGTAACAATTATTGAAGTGATTAAAACGAACATCAGTGCCAGTTTCTATATTCGGCGAACAGCATCCACTAGATGAAGCACTTTGACGTACAGAACCAGTATTCATAGTTAACTCATCCATCATATTTAAACCTACACCGGACAATCCTCCTGCAAATAAATTAGCATCTTTCTACAATCAATACAAAAATTCCACCCAAATTAAATCATATTATAGAAATTAAATTTTATAAAAAGCATCATCTCTTTTATAAGCAACAATTGTAGATCTTTTGCAAAACAAAATCAAACGATGAAATGAAAACTATTAGTATTTCAGGAATTCTGTATTTCACTTTTCTTTTCAAATATTATTTTTTCTGATCGTAGTTTCATTATGATTAAAATAATAATGATGACAATCTTTAGGACATTATAAGAATGTATCAGCAAAGAGCTAAATTTTATTATTTGATCATATCTATTCATCTTTGATCATTCTAGTTGGAATATCAAATAGAGAAGAAATATGCAATCATTTAAAGATTATTAATTAAACGATAACATTAATTGGAATAAAATGTACAGAATGGTTAATATTAAGGTATTCTAGTAAAAAACTGAAGTAAGGTTGGTAATTTGATATACCCTTCAATAATCGCAAAAGATTGCCTGCATCAACTGCCGGCAATGTACCCGGAGCCACCGTTACTGTAATACCGGAACCACCATTACATCGTACTGCTGCTGAATTAGCTGGTGTTACCGTTGCTCCTGCTCCACCAACTAATATATTACCAGTACCGGTACCCGTACCTGTCGTTACTGAACCTTCACCCGATAAAACTTCTGCACCGGAATTTGATATGACTACTCCTGCTGCTGCTGATGTTGTTGTTGTTGGACCGTTCCGCATCGATCCTGGACTATGAATTACGGGATCATCTGGTGTACTCATTTGCTGCTGAAAAATTATATCAGATTATTTAATAGGTCGAAGATACATTCTCTTTCTTTTATCTTTTAACAACAAAATATTGATATATCCTTTTCCATTTGTTCTCCTCCTGATTACTTACAATGAATTATGTTAACTATGTTGAAATCGTTATATTTTATCAAATAGAACATTTGAACTAATAGAAATTTGAGGCAAAGAAAAACATATTTTATTATCAGTGAATATAGTAAAAGTTAATATTGATGGAAAAAAAATGAATAATTAATTTGTAAAATTGAATTTAATATTGCTTGTTGATTAAATCATTCAGATATATTATTCCTAATATTAGAAAATATTAGGGGAATTTCTCATCTTTCAAACACATATTATCCCAAATATTGATTTTGCACCTTTTTTTATTTACCTCTCTCTCTCTCTCTCTCTCTTTTTCCAATTAGTAAAGATAGCAAAATTAAGTGAGTGCAAATCTAAAAATTTTTTCAACAAAATTGTTGAATTTGCAAATTTTTGTTCGAAAATTTACTAATCTTCGAGAGAAGGAAGAAAAGTTGTACTTTTGAGTCTTTCAAATTTATTTTAATTCCTAAATGACATTTGGATCTTAATAATAATTTTTTCTACCTCCCCCTCGGATATGTACTTATGATACCCTTTTTGTAAGAGTACAAGTCTGTAAATAATAAAAATGAAGTACAATATAAGGACAGTTTTACGCTGAACGAAGAAATTGATGCATTTTTTGGCATTCGATAGGATTCATAAATCTGATGCCTGCACTTTTCATGAACTTATCGAAAAATCAGACGTTAAAATCAACTTAGAAAGATCATCAAATTATTTGTGTGAAATTTTTAGACCAATCCGACGTCATTTGATAACTTAACTGACAAGATAATTTATATTATTTAAATTATCGTAAAATATTAACAAAATGATACAATGATAATAATAAGTTTAGAAAGGAGGTAAAATTATCGTATCGTATAAATTGTGTATCGTATAAATCGTATAAATTATCGTATAATGACTTTAATAAATACTTGCGATATATAATGTTTAAGATCGAATACATTTCTGTTTTTTTCATCTTTCTTATTTATCATAAAATAGTTAATGGAAGAATTTTGATAACTTTAAAAAATAAATTGCAATTTCAATTTCTTAATTATAACTGTCTAATTCATTCTATTTCACTTAGCATTAATTAATTTTTTTTATATGTAAAAATTCAAACTAATTTATCTTCAGCCAGTAAACTAAGTATAGCAGAGAATATTTTCCTATTACTTCTGGCGAACGACCGGAAAATAAATGATGAAAAAGGTATTAGATGTAATTAATATGCATAATTTCATGATTCATATCTTTTCATGAAAAGAGAAGTGATAAGAAATTGATAAATGTAAGTTAAACTTCATGCTTTTGATGAGTGAAAATATTCGGAAAGAAAATAAGAAGGTAACGAAAAATTGATAACCTGTAAATGCATCTGATTTGTAACTAATGTAATCAAAATGTTACGGTGATATGATATGATTAAAGTACGAATATTATCGTATGATTTCATTTAATTCTCAATTTCAAGTTTGTTAAAATTAAACTATTTCTTTTTAAATATAAAAATAGAACTTGGCAAAATCGACTTCATTATCGGGAAGAAGAAGTTAGAGAAAACTGGAAAAGAAAGGAGAGACCAATTAATTTTAAAATTAAAACAAAAAAAATTTCAACCAATAATAATCATAAATGAATGGATATTTATTACAATATCACAACATTTATACAATTCATTCGATCCTAAATGGAATAACACAAAAATGAAAGAATAAAATGTAAGGTAAAATTATGGAAGACATATTTGTCATTTTGAATGAATGAATATATCAGGAAAGAATTACGGTAATTACAGTGAAGTAATCAAATTTATATTAAATAATTAAATTATTGAATGAGTACAGATGGAGAAGTCAAATGATTGATATTTTGATAATTGTGATATTTTAATGAAAATATATTAAATTATGAGAAATTTTCAGTATATAAAAATTAATAAAGTAATTAGTAGCTATGAAATAAAAATCCCAAATGATTAAGCGATATGGTAAAGAGGTTAGCAAAACAGGATTTGGTAACAAATAAATTAAAAATTCTGAAATCCCTCAAATAAAAATAATGAAAAAATTAAAACAAAACTGACATTATCAAAATGGAAGAATAATTAGGGGATAACTTCTTTTTCCATTTAATTGAAAAATTCAAATTGATATTTGAGATAAATGTTATAAACCTTATCCATTTCGATGTTATTCTTTATTTCCATATTCCCCGATGCATTTTACTAAATCTTCCAATAATCGGGGAAATTACATGTCAAAATTTTTTCACATTCATAATAATAGTACATTTTAAAATACACAACAAATATATCATACATATAAATGAACACTAATATTTATATATAGATGTAAACAGTTGATTTTGAACATTTAAACACACAGACACACACACACATATACAAATATCACATACACAGACACATACACTCATACAGACAGACATACACACACACATATACAGATATCACATACACAGACACATACACTCATACAGACAGACATACACACACACACACATATAAAGTATTTGGTATATATTGTGTAAATGATATGTTTAAATTTATATATGTGATGGAAAAAAGAAACTGCAATAAAAATATTCTGTGTGTGTGTGTGTGTGTGTGTATGTGTATGTGTATGTGTATGTGTTGTGAAGTTGTAAAAGTAAACAAAATAGAATGGAGAAGTAATAAGAAGGAAAAGTTAGAATTATTATTAAGCTAATGTTTACATCCTTTAAATTGCTATATGTTTGCAATTTTTCTTCTTTTTTTTAAAAAATCACTTTACTAATGATGATAATAATAACAATAATGGGAAATGATAATAATATTAATGATAATAACACTACTAATGATGATAATAATAATAATAATAATAATAATAATAATGGGAAGCGATAATAATAATATTAATGATAGTAAAAGGGAAATAAAATGTTAAAAACAAATAAACAAATAATGAAATGAATTAGTTGAAAATAAATTAAAATGAAAGAAAGTTTTTTTCATTTAATTTCATAATTAAAAAAAAATTTTCATTCAACAGCAATTATTTACACAGCCATTATACAATACACTCACATTCATACCTTACATACATACGCATACGTACGTACGTATACATAAATTAAACGACACATTACACTTACGATTTCAATGATCGTTTATGTATGTATATGTATGTATGTATGTGTGCGTGTATGTGTATGTGTGTATACGTGTATATGTGTGTGTATATGTGTGTGTGTGTGTGTGTGTGTGTGTGTGTGTGTGTGTGTGCATGCAATAATATATTTTGTATTTGACGTTTAGTTTAAGAAAACGAAGGTTACAAATTAGAGAAGTTATTTGAGATGGATCTTTTTGACAATTTTACTAAAACTTATTTCACACTTTCTCTTTCTTTCTCTCTCTTCTTTTTATCACTCTTTTTTTCCTCATAAATAATTGTATATGGAAGAATATACAAAAATTTTTATTTTTACCAAAACGACTGGTAACAATTAGCAAAATTATTTTGATAATAATTACTATATGTTATTGAATATAAAATAAAATATAACTTACAATAACAATAAAGATATAATAAAAGAAGAAAGAAAGGAAGAAATGGAAAAATATGAAATTTATAGAGATGTATGAATAAAGGAAAGGATGGATATACCTTAGCATAAAGTTTGAAGATGTTCCATTGCATATAATTATCCTGTGATGATGTTATCGATGATGTTGATGCTGATACTGTTGCTGATGCTGATGATGATGATGATGATGATGATGATGAAATCGATGATAATAAGCTGTTCATATCAGCCATCCAAATTTAACAAATAATTAACGACTATCTTCGTTGATATATGGTATATTTCTATATGGAAAGGAGATATATGTGTTTTTTTGTTGTTGCCTTTGATATATACTTAATTATGAAATAACCTTTCCTTCCAATTGATCATTTATCAGACCCGTAAATATGACTGAGGAATAGGTATATATGTATATTAAGGAATATAATTATTTAGATGATCATTGATGATGACGATGATAATGATTTGTTCCACTTATCGAACAGCAGCTATTTCGTGTCGTAAAATCATCCAGCAGGAATATTTTTAGTAAAATTGTTTATCTATGATAATTCCATTTAGTTAATTTTTCGCCGTCAAAAAAGTTAGATAATAATATAGAAGCAAATGATAGCTGCTTGTTTCCAATTTCGATGCTTTTTAGTTAACTTTTTTTTGCTACAATATCTGCAGTAAAATTGAAATAATTTCAAATGAATTAAAATAAAACTAATCGATAATGTTTTGCAAAAAATAACGCTCAATAAAGATAGAATGGAAGAGAAAAAAAAACAATTTGGAAATATTTTAGGACAATTATGGGAAGAAAAAGTTTAATTAAAAATTTAAAATGCTATATCATATATCGTAATATATATACTAAATAATGATATATACTAAAATATGATATATATATATATTATAATATATATATTATTAATATGAATGAGAAATACAAATACGTTCACAAATATTTGTGTTGTTTATTTGTAATTAATATTTTAAGTATTTAGAAAGAATAAAAAATAAAAACAAAAAAAATTAACAATTTGTATTAATTTGCTTAATTAATTCATTTAGTATTATTTTCTATATTCATTTTATCATATCTATTCGATCATTTGTTGCGCAATATATCACTTATCAGTTATTATTAATCATTAAAATAATAAATTTTAACAAAGTTGATTGATAAAATAAATTTTAGAATTAAATTTTCAAATAAGCTGCCTCTTTTTCATTCTTCCTTTTTTTTTGATTTCTTTTAAATTTCATTTTTGATTTGTTTAATTTTTATTTTTGCTTATTAAATATTTTCAATTTATATATAATTCGTGCAATTGTTTTGCTTATAATTTATCAATAAATTTCATTCGTTCAATCATTTCTTCTTCGTGGGAAATTTCGAAATTTTATCACTGATAGAATGAAAAATCATTTTTCCCATACTTAATTTATTGATCAAAAAAATAAAATGAACGTTGCAATGTGAATTTGCAGCGGCATCGAAAAGCATTTAAGGAGGATACAGTTGGTGTGAGTAATACTTATCGCCGAAGCAATGATGTGAAAATGTCGAAACGTTCTTCTGTATCGAAAGCATTACAATCTGGCGGCAATCTTTTGTATAATCATAATCATAGGTATTACTTTTTTTTGATGTTTAAAAATTAAAATTAATTTGTTTAAATAAATCAATTATATTGATGGGAAAAAAACAATTGTTGAAATATTTCGGCGCATATTTGAATTCTATGAAATTACAAAAGCAATTTTATATTTTTCAAATTATTTAATTTGTTTAAATTATATTAGCAAATTAAGTCTTTAACTGAAAACAAACTCTTAAATGATTCTAAATTTAAATGATTCTAAATTCTAAATGATTCTAAATTGTGATTCTAAATTGCATTGTGAGAATAAAATGCATTTACTCAGACGATAACTTCAGTAAATGATGGATAAATTATTTTCACTGATAAATTGATGGCAATTTAAAATTTCAAGAAATAGTTTTCAAATGTATCTCTAAGAGAATTTATTCGATGAATTTATTTCGATCCATTCGATGAATTTATTAAAAATATTTCAATCCTAAAAATTTAAAAAAAATTATGGAAGAAGAATTGTAAACAAATTTATTATTTATGTCATTCTAATTTTTGAATTTAAAATGAATTTCTGATTTAAAATTCAAAAAAAATTCTCCGCATATAGAGGATGGAAAATTTTGAATTTATTATGAGTTAATAGTGTTTCACGTTAGCATTTAAGACTAATTATATAACATTTAATATTTAATGAAAATTACTGTTTGTACTTACCGCATTTGCTATTTCATAAATTACGCTGCTAACCATAACGTTAATTTACAGCAATTTGCGCTACAGTAACTAAATCTCAAATATACAAACCCAATCATTTCCTCTTCTGTAAAATTGTCTTTGATCTAATTTAGCTCCCTGATTAGATCGTTTTAAACTCAATTTTTAAAAAATGAATTTATTAATTAATGATTGGATTTGAAAATTATTTTAATTTAAGATTTCTTCTTTCACTTTAAAATCAACCTAATATGAAAAATTTAACATAATATGCAAATTTTTTTCTAAATTTTTCGAAGTTAATTTCTAATTATTTTGAAATTTCATTTAATTTCAAAATGAAAAACATTTTAGAATATGAAATTTTCAGACGTGGTACATTAGCTGATCCGACGTATATCATCACTGCCGAAACGGCTTTTTCGCGTATGCATGCTAATTGCTTCCTATTGATACCACTATTACCACTTTATCAGACCTCATTGAAACAAAAAATTCGATTAACGACACGTATAAGTGAAATAGATTAATGTTAAACGAATATTCCCTTATAAGCCTTAACTATGAAAAAGTAATGAGATGATGAAAAAAGAGGGCAAAACTTATATCTAACCCTATTTCATTAGAATATGTCAAAAACATTTTATCGTAAGAGATTTTAAATATGCTCAATTTTAATTTCATCCTTTTTCTCCTCTTTTTCTTTTTCGAGAGAGAGAGAGAGAGAAAGAGAAAAAACTTAATTTGTTGTTTGTTTTTTGCATGCCTTTTAAACAATATAAAGCAGATATAATTGAAATAAAGCTTTTGTCTAATGTCTTAAATGCGTGTTATAAAATAAAGAGCACATTAAATTATTTAATTATCACAGTTATCACACGTAAAATATCACGCTTACAATTTATTACAGTTATTATACGTAAAATTTACGTGGAATATTGCAGAGCATAATATACCTGTAGAATAAATGATCGAATTTTTTGCATAATTTATTAATTATCTATTAGCAACCTATCTTTTTTTTTGGTTATATTAAACAAAACGCTCTCATATCATTTTCTTTAAAGTTTGCAAGAATATTTTATACCTGTTATTGACAATTTTTAATGAAGGAATTCCTGTAATTTAAATGACTAATCAATATTTACAATCAACTATACTCTTCTTCGTTTTTGTTCTCTACCACAAGATCAAAATATATTTCGTTTACTTCTCTCAATCTTTACCATATCTAACCTTTACAAAATACATTCTCTATGAATTTGTCACGTAAAAATGTTAGAGAAAATTTCTTAAAAATGAAAATTTATTTATAAACAAAAGATTTTATTTTAATGTAAGAGAAAAAGGGAAAGTAATATTAAAAATGTTTTGTTTTGCTTTCACTCTTACATTTTCACTTTTTCTCAAAAAAATTATTTTCGAAAGAAAAGAATGTTTCACAAAAATAAACAAATAAATAATCAAACATAAACAAATTGATTGAATCATTTTGCCATACCAATGAATAATCACATTTTCCTTACTTTCCAACTGTTAACAAATTTTCTGCGCTTAATTGATTATGCTTAAATTATTACAAAATTTTCTTGGCATTCTTTTAATATCAATGATAGCATTAATTGCTATTGGACAGAATCCATTAATTCTATCGGTGACATGTAGAAATTATGGTAAAGTATTATTACGTGGTCAATTGGATGATTGTGTTCCTGAAAATTTTCGTTGTTTTCTGAGAAATCCAATTGTTGTCAATTTAACTGAACTTGTCTGTATTATGGATAATGAAAATGCGGCAATCAAATCACCACTGGTAATTTGTATTACTAATTTGAATTTTCAACTATTACATTAAGATTTCAAAGTTTATAAAAATTTAAAAAACTGTGTAATTTTATAAGCTAGGTTTTTACTTCCCAATTATCTGAGCTACATTTCTCGGTTAGAATTAAATAATAGTCTTTCATTTCAAGTTTTCTAAGTAAAAATGTTGAAATGAAATTACAGACTAAAAAATAAATTATTAATAACAAAAGTTGAGTGATAAAATAAGAAGATATAGAACTTTGACGAAGGGTCAAAGTGCAAAAAAGAAGGCAAATGAAATTAAGGAAAAAATGAAGAAAAGAGAGATAATAAATGAAGATTTAATAAAGAAATAAAAAAATGGAAACTATAATAAACAAAAGTAAATATAATGAAGTGCAAAAAGAATAAAAGAAAAAACTGATTATATTAATGGATTTAATTAGTATAGTTACAGGTATCATGTGTTGTGACCGGAAATGTTCCATTAATGAAAGAGAAATGTTCGGAGGAAGGAGATTGTCATTCGGTAACAGTATCATGTCCAATTGCAAAAGAATTGGATAACGATATCATCAGTGATAATAATGTGATAGAACAGGAGCAAAATATTATCACCGAAAAAGCACTACATCATCCACCTCTTCTATCAGTTTCTGCACCAGAAGGTTTAGTATTTAGGTTCAAAAAATTTCAACTATTTTTAATAAACAAATCAAAAGAAGAAAACCCCAAGAAAAGTATGTAATATTTAAATGAATGGAGTAATTTGCGTAAAAGTTTGATAAAGTTTAGAAATTTCAGATAGCTCTCGATCATGCTTCTTCTTTAGCGATAACAAAACTATAGGAATGGATGATAGTAATAGAGGTAATGGCGGTAATTGCATGCCAGTAAATGCAGTTTGTCGTATGGTTGAAATGACAACAGTTGGAAAATCATCTGTTGCATGTACTGTTCAAAAGAATGAAAAATTGGTTAATCGAATTGAATTTAACCTTTATAACTTGAAAGAAAAGAAAGGAAAGCATGACATACTCAAATGAGAAATTTTCTGAAATTATTTATAATAATTTTTTTTTTGGGACCAAAAATTTTAAACTTAAAATCTTTTTCAAAAATCAAACGGTAAAAGAAAAAGATTCCTAAGCTTATAAAAGAAAATTAAATTTATTTCTAGCATGAATGCTTGATAATTTGGGAAACGGATAAACAACGCTGTCACGATTCCAATTGTTTAAGTGTACATTTAAATTGTCCAGTATTGGACGAATATGAAATGGTTTTGCCAATTCAAAAAAGTAAAACAGGTTAGCTTCAGAGGATTTGTATTTTTCTTTTAAAACTCGTAGAAAAATAAGTCGAAATTTGTTGAAAACTAATTCCAAAATAAATCCTACTACATTTCATTCATTTCATTAAAAAATTAATTTTATTTGAAAATGTATGGATGAATTTAACAGAAATAATTTGCTAATCAAAATGATACATTATGCGACAATAAAATATTGCGAAGTATCAAGAATTGATATTACTCAAATGCACTATAAGAAAATTTGATTTGCTTTTTTACAAATTCAAATCATCCGATTGAAATTATCAATCCGACCAGTTCAATAATAATGGAATAAAATCAATTCGTTTATAGTATAGTTGATCTATTTGGGCAAATAATTGTTTGACCACTTGCATAAATCTTGACAGATTTCTAAATATAATCAATTACAGAAATATAATGATATCGCTATTTTAATAGTTTCCAGGAGTTCTCGGTCTCGTACTATCATTAGCGTTCTTTACTGGTGTAATTGCTGCCTGCATTGGAAGTTACTTTCAACAAGTATGTTTGAAAACGGCAGATATCAGAAATGATGAAAACGATGAAAATGATGCTAAATATTGTGGAAATAGTATCTATCCTTCCTCATACACAAATAAATAGTAATTGTTTAGTAATTAAGTATTAAATGTGAAAATTTATTTATTTTATTTAAAAGAAACACATTTTCCACTACCAAAATTAGTGTCAGATGTAATTTTCTGGTTCACAAAATGCATATTTTATTTCAAAAATTGAAATTTTCAACAAATGGAAGATTTTTGTTTAATAATTAGCACAGAGAGACAAACAATTGTAATGAAGATCTTATTGATTGATTTTATAATGAAGGTTTTATTGATTATTTTATTGATCTTTTTTAATCAAAGAAATTACAAGAGGAATCGATTATCGAAATTATCATTCCCTTTTTGTTGATTGTGAAGAAAATTTGATTGGAATTTTATTGAGATTAGTTTAGAGAAGATTTGATAAATAATGATAAATACTTATCCGAATCAAATCGAAGCGTATTATTCGTAATCCCTTTTGAAAATAAAATGAACTAAGTAAACAACAAACAGTCTGTCTAATATTTATTAATCATTTAACAAATGCTACAGCATTGATTATTTTTATAAGATAGAATTTGTATGCTAATTGAATTAATGATTTATTGTTTTGGATATTAAAATATTTATTTTTTATAATGAATCATTTGACAATTATTCGAAATTAAATAGTCTTCATTATACATATTTCTACAAATACAAAAAATACTTTGTTTATTTTAACATATTTAAATAATGATAATACTTCAACAACAAATAATACAAATAGGAGAGGGAGAGAGAGAAAGAGAGAGAATAAAAGAATGAAAGATAAAATGAGATATTTCAGATAAACGTATGTAATAAGAGAAAATAATTTAGAGAGGATAATTTAACATTGTTAAGAGAATAATATTTTTAGCGAATAATATTGTTAAGAGTGAGAGAGACAGAAAAAGATATTAATAGATTTTAATGAATCCTTATCGAATAGTTAACCGGAGCTATCAAATAATTAATTTATCAGTGATATTATTTAAACTCTTATCTCTTTATTTCTACTGTTTCACTCTCTAGTTACATTTACATTTTCAAAATGAATGGAGAAAATTACAGTTAGGAGAGAAAGAGAGGAGAGAGAATAAAAGAAAATTATGATTATAATTTACAATTAAAGGATAAGGCTGGCATGAATTTTCAATGTTAATAGTGTTCAATGTATCAATATTGATCGAAAAATATATGATTTGTTATTAGCCAATTGTTCACATTCGTTAAAATTAAATCTTTGATTTGAGGAAGCTTTGTTTTGATAAAATCGAATTGTAGTGAAAGTTTAATTTTTTTGATGAAAGGATTTAGTCCTTGACGTTATAGTACAATTATCTTATCAGCAATACAGTAATTCAATCGATTCCTTCTTTGTTAGTCTTCTCCGCTAAAGATTTATGAAGATAGTTGGTGATGCTTATTGAGATAGTGCTTTTCGAGGAATCTGATAGCTTGTAGATAGCAAATATTATCCTATAAAGTAGCAGTAGCCTAGCTCTTATATTATTCACTTCGAGTTGGGCGATTTCATCGAATATTGCTTATAATAAATTAGAGAGATGATGACTTTGTAGACTAAACTAATGGTACAACAAAAAATCAAAAATTCAAAAATTCATAAAGAAAAACTGTTAGCAAACAAAGGTTTGTCTGAGCAAATAAACCAGCGGTGAATCAACAATCATCATCTAGTCTATTGAAGATGATGACAGTGATAAATGAGAGTTAATAATGATTTATGACAGAATCATGAATTGACAAATTATACAAAGCATATTCTAACATTATACCGTGAAGGATTGAGAGAAATGTTTCCTATAGCATAAAATTAAATAATACGATGAAACTTTAATAATAAAAGTAATTTTTATATTGTAATGTTATTTCCGGTTGCCAATATATGCTCCTTCTGATTAATGAAATTATATTTTATATATGTATCCATTACTATTATTATTTTTTTTGCCAATGTTTATGACTTTCTAAATTATTTAAATCTAATTAAATTAATCAAAATTTGTTAAATATGTTATTCTTCTCAATATATTTCACAAAGTGTATCTGCTTGTTATGTCAGCACATTGATAATCACTTCGAGAAACGAAGAAAAACAATGTATCAAAAAATTTCCTACGAAATATGGATTGATTAGTTTGCAAACGGTCAGTCAGTGTATATAATCATTGATAACAGTTATTATAAGATTTCTGCTGATATAACTAATATATTAAAATATTTCACCCAGCTACCAAAAAATTCCATTATTAGATCTTATGAATAAACAAAAGTTTCTCAATCAAAATAATTTCTATTCATTTCCACTATTCAATACTTGTTTCATCTCATTTCGTAAAGTAAGAATCAAATTTAAAATCTAAAATTTACTCTTTTTCAATTCCCAAAATTTAATTGATTCTATGCATTAAAATCTTTTGTTTAGTCTTTTACTTTATATATTAAAACAATAAAAATGTATTTAAATTATCCAATTTGGTAACTTTTCTATTCATTTGTCGCAAATTAAGTAAATTATATTTGTAGTTTGAGAGAAAAGAATATTCCAAAAAGTGCTGAAATTCAAAATTAATTTTATTATATTATATTAAGATTGAAATAAATTAAATATTATAAAAACAATCAAAAATAAATTACAGGAAAAGGTGTATTATCAATGGATGGCTTCACAAAAAAAAACAACTGATAAACACAAATTTAAGTTTAAGAAAAAAATTGAGAAATATCAGCTGATAAAATTTGTGACAAATTCGAACGAAAATGGAATGGAATGGAAATACCAATGATCAAAAGACGAATTAATATCAATTGGTAAGCTGTTCGGAACCAAATTTACATTATAAACATAAAACTAATCGATGCGACAAAATATCACAGTTCACCCTTGTATACGTGCAATTTTGTATGTAATTTTGGAAGAGCAGAAGGATAAAATCATCCCGTTTATCACCTGCCTACGTGTGAAAAAGAAATATTTGCTATAATATGATGAGTTAGGAAGGCCGCATGAGAAAGATATTTGCGCCTACAGAATGTTTTGTTCTACAACGGTTATTATTATATATTATTACAATATTTTGTTCAGTTATTACGATTATTTTTGGTTGAACGTTACTTCACTTATGCTAGTATTTCATCAATTTAGTAATTATCTTTCCGTTTATGTTATCACTGTTTATGGGACTTTCATCTAATTTGCAATCTCTTTTATTATTTTAATGAAATAGCAAAAGTTTTCATCATGTTTTCTATTTCAGTATAAAAATCTATTCTCAATGTATAGTACAAAATTCATCAGAAATTATAGGTTCTATTAACAAAATATTAACTTTACAGCATTTTAAGAATTCTATACAAGTATTACTAGTTATTTGTTGATAAATTCAATTATTCAATAAAAATCTGTTATACTTTCTTAATTTTAATTGCGTCACTTTATTTTTTCCGATTCAACCACTTCTTCTCATCATATTTGCTGAAGACGTGAAAGTATGGTGAACTGATAATAGTGCATGACTTGATGTTGCAATGGTACATGCATGCATATTTTCATCAATCTTCATCATCACGATGCTTTTCTCGTTTATTGATATCAATTATCACTATTCGAGTCATTTGATTTATTGTCACATTTGGGTAGAAAGTCAAATAAAGCATCGTTTTATTCAATGTTAAGCTTTAGGAAATAAAGTTTAACTCAAAAAAAGTAATCATTCATGCATTAAATTCAATATGCTGTTAGGATGAGAATATTACTACATTATCATTGTATCATTGGTGACAAATGTCATTGATTTGACATATTAAATGAAAAGAAAGGTAAAAAATTTAGAAAGAAAAAAATGAAGACAATATCATAATCAATAATTTGAAAACAAAAAAAATAAAAATTTCGCACTGTTAGGGCACTTTAATAAACAAATGTAAACTAAATAATAAATAAACATTATCAGATCTTTTTAGTAAGACAGGTAAATTAATTTAGCTTTCTTAGAAATATCACCCTGTATAGAAGGATAAAGGGATAATGAATATTCCTGTATTCAAATAATTCATGTTATTAAGAATGTACACTTTTGGTAATTTAAGCGTAAAAGACGGCAGTATTTTCAGATAGTAATATCTGACCGTAATATTATTCTCTTAAAATGCGACAAGAATCCCGCTGTTATCTCATAGATTCCACTAGCAGGAAATTGAAAATAATACATTGTTTTCCTGTTTATTAATAACATGATTAATTATATATATGAAAATTCAGAATTAATTAACGAACTATCAAAATGATTATTTAATTGTAGCACCATCTATTTAGAATTTAGTATGAATTCTTGTTGATACTCTGTCTTAAATTGATTTTTTGAAATTACTTTTATGAGCAAAATTCATGCTAATGAATATAATAATTAAATGGATAAAAAAAAATAGGTAGTTAAGAAAAAAAATGCAATTACATTTAGGAGATCGCTTGGCAGTATTTGAATAGAATATTCACAATAATGTTTGAAAAATTAACTTAGATAAAATAATCGAATTTAATGGTGATTAAAATTTTCGTCATAATCTATCAATACTCTCAGCGACCGATACTGATAAAAAATTCAAATGATGATAATAAAAGCTGTAGTAGTGATAATCGTAGATGTAGCAGTATATATATTACTGATGAGGTTATTTACAACAAAGGTAGAAGGGAAGCGATATTAATGATATTTAAACATTATTGGATCGACAATTTAATGTTAGAAAGATGTGAATAATGAATTGCATTCTGGAGGCACTATGGATGGCACCATTGCATATGTGAATAATACTAACAACGAAATGATAAAACAAATGATATCCACAATAATTCTTTCAACAACAAAAATGTTATTAATTAATAATTCATTTTTGGATGCTGTTTTAAATTTGATTTATCTTCATATTAATTAAATAACTTAACTTAATAGAAAATGTATAACATACTATTTTTTCTGGAACCGATCATAATCTGCGATCTTCCAGATATACACTTTTCCTATCATTAGCAGTTGAATTTAAAATGAATAAAAATAAATTTTATAGAGGAGGTGGACCATTGACGTAATCCAAATGTGGTCCTAAAGCTGTTCGCCAAGGTACAAGTGATGATGTAGCGAACCATGATATAAATGCTGCAATTACAGCAACAATAAACAACACCTTAATAGACCAATTATTATGAGTGGCACTTGCGCAATTGTCGTCTTCCAATCGTGTCATCGTATTTGTATCGTTTTTCAAATGCATCCGCTTTCTACAACGTACCAATGTTGCTTTATCAGCACTTTTCGTATGGCCCATTTCTTTTTCAAATCTGTAAATAACAATTGTAAAGTGATTAATATAAAATTAGTTAATATAATAATTATAAGTCAAAACAATGCCTAATCTAAATTACGTTATCATGGTATTCTAGAAATCTCTGCAAAATATTCCCATTAGATGATCATTCATTACATTTCCATACCTTCAAAATTAATCCAAATTCAATTTCAAATTCTAATTCAAAATCAAAATTTCGTGGAAAGACCAAAATGAAGCAAAACCTAGTTTTAAGCTGTTTTAGTGCATTGGAGTATAAAACAAGTTCAGAAGTGAAGTCGACGGGCGGTGATTGAGTGGAAGAATGATTGTGAAGCGATGCTAGATTACAGCTCAGGTAATTACATGCTGTTTCTAATCGATTCATTCGTTCTTGACATAATTCCAATTCGGAACATATTTGCTGAAATGGAGTATTAGTGAGATCAACATCTATAACAGTTAAAATTACTGTTAACAAAAAAATTTTAAAGCATAAGTTTCCAACGAAAAAAAAATTCTACTTGGTATAATTCGATGCCTGAACAATATTATAAAGTATCTCTTATAATTAACATAATAGAAAGAAACTTTAAATTCATTTCAAAGCTTAGCATTCGTAAGAGTTATCATATATCTCGAAAAAAAGCAAATGTCCACTCTATTCGATATTCAATACCTGAACGATCATGTCATAAAGCTTATCATTAAACTTACGCTCACTACCAAAATCATAAAGCTCAAAACTTGGGAATCTTATCGACAATACTACTAATATTGCACATAACAATTGACCTATCTTTCTTGTTAGGCAAAAATTTATGACAAAAATTAGAGATAGATGTAAGCAATTTTAAAAGTATAAATAAGCAATCAAATTCTATAATGTTAGCACTAACCTCAGAGTTATCAGTTCCTTTACGAAGATCAGAGAGATCATTCTCAATGGTTCGCATCATAATTTGAATAATTCGTTGTGTTTCGGACCAATCATTCCATTTATCTCGGATTTCTTCAATTTGTGCCATTAATTGCTCCACTCGTTCCACAGCTTCCTCATATCCCCGACACAACGGTTCAAATTCTTCCAATAAACCCGATAAATCACCAGAAAACGAATCCGAACTTAACAAACTTTGTAATTCCTCCTGTTCTTCTAGCAATCGTTCATGAATATCCTGAAAAAACTTTTTTAATTTCCAAAACTTTAACAAAAAAGAAACAGAATAAAACATATTAAAGCAAATGTATAATAATATATGAATAGATGATGATCGGATAATTTGTCATCTAACATATCCGGAACAATGTTTTCCAATGTTTTAATGCTTTCCTTTTCTATAACTTTAACTTTTAATCTTTGCCTCTCTTATTCATTTGTTTTCATTATTTACTCCGGAAATACTAAATATTTATCTTTTTATAGAAATTTTCCGGATTTAATATTCCAAAAAAAGAAAGAAAAAAATTACGTTGAATATTTTCAAAGTGCTAACAACGTCACCCAATGATTTGATCGATGATAGCGTGGAGAATGAGGAATCGAGACCACTATCGTCGTGATGGATCAGTTTGAGTGAAGATGCAAATTTTTCAATTTTCAATAAAATAGTGGGCAGTAGTGATTGCTGTGATAGAGATGAAAGCGGAAATGATTGAATACACTCGGTACTGTTATTTGTATTACCGTTATTTGTTGCCAATGCGTTATGTATGTCAGATTCCGAGAAATGCCGGGATTTCGATGAATTCAACAGTTTGCTTAACAGAGGTATTGTAGTCGCTTTCACTAATTCCAACTTATCACTAACACTTGCATCCTGCAAAAATTTCCATTCTAAAAGGTAAAAAGAAATGAGCAAATTTTTGTTTTTTAATTTTTCCCTCATAACAGGACGAAATTTTATCAATTTAAAAAAGTTAAATATCAGTATAAATTATGAAAGAATATCAGAGGAAAAGAAATTATAGAACCAAATAATATGTTAGAGAAAAAAAGAGACAAAAGAGAAGTTAAAAATTAACAGTTCGAAATTTTAAACAATCAAGCGGTTGAAAAAAAAAGTTGTAATTTTAAAAATTTCATTAAAAAAGACATCTTAACATTTCTATCCTAAATCGTTCATTTTTTCTATCAAATCCATTTCATCCTTTTCATTAGTAGAAGAAATTTATTACAAAATTACTAATGGTAACATTTTTATGAAATTCAATTTTAAAATTGAAATACGATTGTATTGAAATAGGATGATCATAGATATTCATCAAATCCTTTTTGATTGATATTTAATGATAGGGTGGCAATAAATGAGAGAGAAAAGGTAACCCAACCATCTCATTTTATTGCATTATCGATTATCAGTTAATATATAGCACTATCACCTAGCAACGACCCTTTTTACAACAACGAACTATTGCTACAGGAAATTCATTAATGTTAATTACTGAAATGATATTGCTCGTATCCATGGAAGCTAATCGATTAATGAATATGTTAAATAAATGACATTTACCGAGTGTTTTCGTATACATTTTCCTGCAACGGTAGCTACTGGTCGTGATGATTTTTCACGTATTAGAGTCTTCTTTTCATCCTACAAATCAATCAATACTTGAATAAGAAATTAACAAATTAAAACAATTAACAAAAAAATTACTATCTCATTTATATTATTTCATTTATATCATACATTGTACTGAATTATGAAATATAAATTTTTTTAGCATTGAAAATAATTATTAGATAATCAAATTTATGCAAAAAAATTTTGAAACAATGATATATTAGTGATAATTAGAATGAAAACCAAATTAAAAAATAATGGATATGAGGAAAGAAATAAACTTACAGTAATGTAAGATTGACGATTAGATGAATATAAGTGAGCGGGGAATGAAGAATGGGAGCTACCAAGTTGCATATGAAAATCATCCTCGATGGTCAATACCGATATATCCTCTCGATCATCCTCATCATCCCATTCATCTTCTGCTTTTGCTGGTGGCTAAAATATTCCTCAATAAAATTACATCAAAAAAACCTCATTCATTATCCTAATATGGTTTCACAAATATAAAATGATGAATGAAAGTTTGAAGAAATACTTATTGAGAAAATGAAAAGATTGAACAAATGGGAAAAGAAAGGAAAATAGAAATTAAATAATTTTTATCCGACCTAGTTTATCAGATGAAGGCAATATTTCATGAAATCCTACGAATATTATATTTAACTTTAGAGATTTTGAAAAAAAGATTATATAATGATTATATATTAAATAATGATTACATGTTAAATATATTCAGTAATCAATACCAAGCATTGACAGAAGAAACCAAAAGATGTTATTTCGATTTTGATTACCGCAAAATAGCACTGATAAACAATCTTTCCTTACAGTTATTACCTTTCGATATAATTCCAATTGTTCTGTCTAAGCAAATGAATTTTTCTAACTTTTCGAATTACATCATTTGCTTATTATTGATGAATTAGAAAAGCGACGACTTAAGCTATCATTTCTCATAAGTACCTTATATGCTTCATTTATCAAATCTATTCAGAATTTCAATGATAAATAAAAGAAAATTTTGAAAAAATTCAGTCTAAATTGAACGGACAAAAATATATCCCATAGAATAATGCTACCTGCAAATGATAATAAAATAAATTTTTGAGTTATATGTCATCTGATTAGTAGTGATAAGAATACATATTACTGGAACAACTGTTTTATTAAATTAAAGCACTAATGCTACAATCACTAATTGGGAGTATAGATGCCATATGCCATCGATAACCTGTATAAATGCCAAAAATCAAAACAGTTTTGCAAATGGTCTAAAGCAGATACACTAACCATAAATTTTGCATACACTAAATTGATCATAGCTTTGATGATCTTGAATGTTATGGCCAAATTTACTCAGCATAAGCTTCCACAATTAACTAACTTTATAATCATCCCATTCATACGGCGGAACATCACTCTGATCCGGTCCTGTGGTATCACTATCGCGATACAGACTGGCATTCCATTGTGATATTGATGCTCCGGGAGCTGAATGAATTGATGCTGCAAAAATAAATTCAAATTTATTATGATGAACTATTTTTAGCCAGACAAAGAAAAGAAAGTAATTATTTAAAAAACCTGACAATAACCTATTTTATTAATTTTATAACAATAATTTCTTTTCTAAAAAAAATTATCTATTATGATGAGATATTTTTGCTCTCCACAAAGAATTTGTTTCATTTAATTTTTAATTAAAACTATCCAAAAACTTCTCATTATCTCGAGCGGAAAAAAAATACTAACCATCCATACACATTCCAAGATGTTCACCATCAGACATAGACCGTGGAAGACGTCGGGCACGTAATTTACGTCGTACCTGATGTTTATTACGAAATGTACTACCTAAATAGTGAGCGGGTGGTAAATGAATTAAGCCTAATGGCGCAGTTTCACCATTGAGATGAGGTATTTCGGAGCATGTCTGTGAATAGATGCTACTTTCCATATCCTAAAATTGATATCAATTTAATGTGCAAAGAATTTGCAAAATTTACATTTAAAAAAGGAAAAAGAGTAAAAACAAAGAAAGTTTATGGAAAAGAAAACAATGAATTAACAGTTTCTAAAAATCTAAATTAATGCGACAAAAAAGTATTAGAATTAAAGAGGATAATACACAAAACAAAAAAAGAATGATAATTTCAAAAATAAAAAGACAAAAAAGAAGTTTTAAATAAGCGTTATGAAGTTGAATTAAATGAAGCAAAAATTGGGGTGGATAACAGAAATTGGTTAAACAAAAGAAGAGTCAAATTCAGGATGAGTAACATGAAATGAGACGGCAAAAAAGAATAGAAGTTATAACAAATCTACCTGTTCCAGTGCACTACTGGACATTTTCATTACCGATGGAAAACGATCGGATGTGCTAAGTCGTCCTTTACGCCGTCTTTTCAAAGAGGATACGTCTGGAACGGATGGTGCAATGGATTTGACTTCAATGATCGGATTGAGATCCGTTGGTAATTCATCACTCTCTTCGCTGGATGCATCGCAAGAATGCTTCAAATAAATGAAGATGGGAAATCATTGAAAAAGATCATCAAATAAGGTCACATTTTATAATCTTGATCAATTTTCTGCTAATGGCAAGATAATATATATTTACACAAATATTTATCAACTATCTGGTAAAGAATGATAATAATTTACCCGATTAAATTAAATAAACACAAGAGGATATATCCAAACCTTATTATTATTATCAACACAGCCCAGAAGCCAATTACGCTTGAAAGATAATTGGTAACGAGTTTTTCCACATTTAAATTCACGCCATTGCGTACCACGTTGTTCGAATTCTTCCCATTTAGGATTACCGTTTTCATCATCATTCAACATTGATAATATCTCCTGCAAATCAATTTTTACTACAAGCTATACGAAATATTCCTATCAATAAATGGTATGAGAAAGATCAGATAAATAAATAATATACCTTAATGTCATCATTAGAACCCATTTCAGATTCCTCTTCCGTATTCACAATTAAGGAATCGGTAAGCACATGCATATCTGTTGGATAACCTAAATTTCCATCAGACCAACCTGATATCGATACCCGTGGTACTTCCGTATCTGTGGCCCCTTTAATATACGTCATTTTAGGTTTTCTTCATATATGTGAGTTTACAGAAGGAAAAAGTTTTTCCAGACAATCTTATATCACATAAATGATAACAAAAATATCACCGATATTTCATCTCAGAGCATTTTTTTTTCGACAAACTTTCATCATATGTGACTGTTTAGCTATCAAAGTTAATTCAAGAACTAATAAAATTATCAAAAATTACAAATGGTAGCTAATTGATAACAGATGTTATCATATTCCAAATAATAACACTTCCGAATGACTAAGAATTTTTATAACAATAAAACTTACCTGTTTCATCGAGTGGTACTGTCTTGTAGAAACTTTTCACAGGTGAGTATTGTATTCGTTGTCGTCGCTGTTCGTCGACATCCGTTGGTGAAGACCGACTAAAAATAAATGTTTATTAGTGATATTTGATGATAAAAGCAATCTATAAATAAAACTTTCACTGATAAGTAATGAATGATTTAAAGAAGAGAATTCTAATGCTCATACAATATTTCCTGGCACACAAATTATTATCATTTTTCAAAAAATAGATCCAATTATAGGATCATAATTCCATTCCGGAAAAGAACGTAAAATATAATTTCTGTTTTTTATTGACGAAATTCCTGAATCAATAAAGATTTGATGGTTTCAATAGTAAACATTGAAACATTAATGTAAATCTAAAATATTAGCACGCAAAAAATAATGGAATTATTTTGGTTAAAACAATTAAATCAAATAAACTTACGTTAAATGAGAATTCACTCCTTGCAGATTATTCATCTTATCATTCCAGGAATTTTTAATATCAGAATGACGATCCGTTATGATAGAGCTATTATTGGTTATTGTTGTTGTTGTTGTTGTTGTTGTTATTGCTGAACACGTCGATTCATCCAATTTCAATTCCTCTTCAATTTTCCATGAATATTCCTCCCTAAATTTGATAATCCTTTCACTTACAATAAATAAATCACATTTTATTGTTATTTATTTGCTTAATGATCACATTTATTCATTCATTCATTAAGTTTACTTCTTCTATTGTGTACCATTCATTCATTATTAGTACCATTCTATTAATAGTACCATTGATTTAATCCAATTATTAATAACAACCAATCAATAAATTTTAATGCTATCAAAGAAGTTTAATATTTTATGAAATATTTTCTAATTCATATTTTATTATCGTAATAATTATAACAGATATGATACAAACTCAGTTTGTGGCATCGTTTCACAATTGATGCTTTCGTATTCCTCTTCAGCGAATGGTATAATATCGTCGCTGTTTCCTCTTCCTCCTAACTTATTCGTTTCCTCATATTCCTTCCACTTCTTATCACTACTATGAAGACGTCGCCGTTTCACCTGTGGTTCACGTAATTCCGGATCACTCTCTGATTCATCATCATTCTGTAAAAATTCAACATTGCTATCTTATTTCATTCACTCCCAAATTCGTTTTCATTTTCACTAATTTCATATCTTTCACTCTTTTACCTTTACATTTACATTTGCAATGCGCTTTTTTAAAAAAAAAACCACATCCCATTATGTGTAACCTTTAACCGTATCCTAAAAAATGTAACCTTTAACCCCTCCTCTCCTTCCCTCTCTCTTCTATGGAACCATCAAATCGCAAATATCTCATATTTATGCCAACATAAGCTACAATAAAATTAACAAATGCAAAGTAAATATTAAAGTATACGTAAGCTTATCAGTAAATAAATAAATGTTAACATTAACGGAGGAGATATATTTGCAAAGTTATCATCTCATCGTTGAAAGCTGTCATAAAGTAATGTGATCACGTGAATATGCGAGGCGTAATATTAGAAGTATATACTACATTGATGCATTTATTCCTATTCCTTTATTATTTTGATGAATTCATAAACATCACACTTTAAGCTTGCATAAATAAGATTTCCTTCTTTTCAATAAACCATTTCTTTGCATAATATTATTGACTATTTATTACTTTCAAAATCTGTTACCAATAATATAGCAATCAATATTATCATTATCATCAGTTATGTATCATATACATTTAACATCTAACATTATCATTTACCGTTTATCACTCATTACTTTTATCATTATATTCTTATTATTAATTAAATGGTGATTATTATCAATCAATTGTCGCTAATTAATTAAAATAGTAGCGATGAAATTTTAAAGATTTTTTTAATCAATAATAAGTAAGACCTGATAAGAAGGTCAAAGATTATATGGTGAACAATAAATCTAATAAGATACATTCATATGCTTTGCAACTAACACATTTCTTATCATTCGTCTTTTTTCACTTATTCTTCTCTTACTACATTCATAATTTTGGTCAGTGATGCGAAGATACTTTAGAAATATACGACGAATGCACAAAATGAAATCATTCATCCTATCGCTGTTCCTTATATTATCAGCATTTAATCATTATAATATTTCATTAATTAGAATAATCTTCAATTATCGCTATTAAAAATGAAATCTGAAATCATTGCAGAATTATACCCCTGTGCTGCTGTTTCCTTCAATCATATTACACTTAAAATTACCCATAAATGATAAATTTTACCTAACTTTTTTTAACCAACAAATGATCATATTGATGGTAATAAAAAGATGACGGCAATACGACGAATGTTTAAACAACTGTATCACAACAAAAAGAAAATTTATGTTTTATCATAAAACATTATATTGATTGAAATTTCTATAGTAAGATATGAATGTTCGATTGCAAAACTAGGAGAAATGTTATTCATCAATAGCGTCAATAAATTAACACAATAATATCACAAGTGATGATAATGATAGCATTACTTGTGATGTTATTATGATGATAATAATTTTTCACAATTATATTATTTACTTCGTTATTTTCTCTTAAAGAAATTTAAATAGATAGCAAAAAAAGAAATGAAAAAAAAGCTGGCAGGTAATTAAAATGCTCTTTAAAAGTTTCAATCATTTAATAGCATTCTACAATTTTATCATATCTCCAATATCAATTCAATTATAGAAATATGAGAATGAAATTGAAAAATGATGGATGAATTTACGCTCAGTTTGCAATATGACATTGACTTCAATTGACCGAATGTGAAGAAGTAACAAAGGAATTTGAAATTCCAAAAATTATAAATGGATGAAATTGTAAAAAAATCGATATACTCACTTATTGCCAATTTTATTAATCTTACTGTCATTAAAATGTCCCAAATAAAACTAAACAAATTTTAATAGAAAGTACTTGAAAAATTGTAAAGAGCTCATTTAATTATGAAATTCTTATTTATCGAAGACTAAATTGATCATAAAGATAATTCAAATAATCTGTCAACTAAATGAATATTAACAACTAATAATAATTCGGAAAATTACAATTGCAATAATTCTAAAATATAAGTAAAATGGAATGTTTCTCATTGATAGAAATATTTGAAATGTCAAATATTTTGAAAAAAATTTTCACACAAAAGTATAATTACATTAATTAGTAAACAACTTTTTAATAAAGGTAATGAATGAAAGAATAATACATAATAAAAGTAAAGATAAAGGTAAATAGCCTATCGTGAAAATACGAAAGGTTATACTGCATTGCTTCAATAATAAAAGGTTGTGCAAAATTGTGAATGAGGTAGAAACGGGGCGATACTATCAATGGCACATTAATTAGTTGATGACTATCACATGAATATGTTTATAGATGGGCAGGTGTACGGAAGATGAAATATGGCTAACAATGCCCATGAAAGAATCGATAACTATAAAAAGCTTTTAAAAAGTAAAATTAATAATGATTTAATTAATGGTACCACAATATTAATTCATTTTAGGAATTGTATATTTTTAACACGAACAGGTGAATTATTTAATAAGTATATTTCAAAATGATAAATTTATCTTTCTCTTTATTTTCCACCTCACAACAATTAAACTAAACCAATCAATAATTGAATCAATAAAATTGATATGAATTTTATCGGATATATAATATGATTAAACTGATATAAACTGGTCTATTTGAGTAGAGTACATTATAGAAAATATAAACCAATCTGATTCCTATTTAATTTTAAAAATTAAATAGAAAGAGAAATGAAAGAGAGAGAGAGAGAGAGGACAAATAAAAAATAGAAATATAATGGATAGAATATATACATATGTATTATATGTATGTGATAATTTATCAATAAAATCCCAATGGATTAAAGAAAAACGAAGGAATGCATCAGTTTGTGAGCACTTAACTCTTTTTGGATAAGAATGGAATATTTTATCGATAAGAAAAATTTGTCCCAATTCTAATTTTAAGGCCAACAATCAAAATCATACGTATAAAATGAAAAATAACTCAAACTTTTTATTATTCGTTGAAAATTTTCCATTTCTTTTGAAAAATAAAACAAAAGAAAATTAGTAAATATTTAGTATAATATGATACTGTAATAATTATTTGTTGGATTTTTAATTAGAAAGTTTTTTTTAATTAACTTTTTAAAGTTTATTTACATACCGATATTTTCTCTAGCATCATTACAATAATTATTTTATTGATATCTTAATCCATTACAATGATTATTTCATTGATATTTTAATCTATTACAATGATTAATTCATTGATATTTTAACCTATTACAATGATTACTTTACTGATATTTTAATCCATTACAATGATTATTTTATTGATATGCTAATCATTACAGTGATTATTTTTCATTGACATCTTAATCTATTACAATGATTATTTAATGATGTGTTAATAATTACAATGATTATTTTATTGATATGCTAATTATTACAATGATTATTTTTCATTAATATCTTAATCCATTATAATGAATATTTATTACAATGATTTTTTGCTTTTATCATCTAAAAAAATAACAATTGTCAGTCAATAGGAAGGAATAGAAATTGATGGCACTTTTTTCATTTAATACAAATATTTGAAGTGGAAGAAAGAAAGAAAGAAAGAAAACTTTTTGAATTATTAAAGCTTACTGAAAAAAATCTTTTCATTCTTATCGCTTAATTTGCTAACATTGCTAATATGAAAAAGAAAGAAAGAAAGAAAATTTATTGAAAAACTTTTCTTCGCCTAAATTTGTTATCAATTCAATAAGAAATATTCATTTACAATTATTTTAAAACAATGAAATAATATCTCAAAGAATATTTCAATAAGCCATTTCATTGAAATATTAACAAAATTATTAATTATAAATTATCATTAATTAATTTAGGATAAATTAAAAAGAAACTAAAATACACACAAAAAAAAATTTCCTTGAAATGTTTGTTCATTGATAAAAAGTAAACTTTTAAATGAATAATTCAATCGTTTATCAAAAAAACAAGAAATCAGTTTTGTCTAATTATTTATAAAATAAATGAAAAAAGAAAAGCAAAAGGAAAAAACGGAAAAACGGAAGGAAGAAACGGAAAAACGGAAGAGTGAAATATATTAGAAAATATTGTTAGCAAGCAAAAACACATACATAAATATATTAGAAGGAAAAATTGAAAAGTAAAAAATGGTATTGATTTATGCTATTTTTGTTTTTCGTTTTCAATTCATTTAAATGAAAAAAGAAAAATTTGAAAAACAAAAGGAAAAGTGATTGTACAAATCGTTGCAATAAAAATTTAAGTAAAAAATTGCCTAATTTTTTGTTAATTAATTCAACAAAAATGGATTAACAATAGAATGGTTAGAAACAGCTGCGACCATTTATGCGACAATTTCGTCTATTCTTTTTTTCCTTTCAGTTATTCCTTTGTAAATTGTCAATTATCGAAAAAGTTTTACAACACCGAAATTGTTTAAACTATTCATCCATTTCTTTCAAATAAATGCATTTTGTACAATCAAATGAGAAAAGCTTCATTTTCAAGTAGCAATAATGAAAGAGCAAAAATTTTAGTTAAAATTGTTTGTGAGGATAGGAAATTTAAATGAATAAGAATGACGACATACGACAGACAACGACAATAAAGTTTGATAAAAGAGGTATGTTGTAGAGGAAGGATTCAATCATTTCATTCTTCTCTGCTCATGTCAAAATGTCTCTTATTGAAATTTGTTAAAGCATATTATTTATCAATAATATAAAATTAGATAGAACAAATACATTTGAGATGATAAAATATGAATGATATGTTAAATTTAAAAATGAATGATGATATTTTTGATGATAATGATTAATGAGAAATATTTTGATGATAGGAAAATTTCGTAGGAAAAAAAGTCAATATTAATAATGGCAATGATATGTGATAGATTGCAAACATCATGATTTTACACAGGAATAGTGAGAGTGATATTTGCTGATAGTAGCTAGTGATAAACAAATTTCAACAATTGATGATCAATTGTCAGATATCGAATTAGTAGGCTAACTAAGAAATCAAGAATTTCTTAAATCAGCAGGGAAAAAAAATTAGTATGCGAATAAGATTGGATTAATAATTTTGAGAAATCCATGAAATGACGGGGAAATTTTTGAATGAGAGGAAAAGATAATGCATTTAATAGAATTCCTGTCACACAATACATCTGTATACAACAGGGGAGCAGATGGGTGAAAGTGAGGAATATAAATTGACTGGTTGTTAGAGGAAACTCGTCGCAAAATTAGGCCATTGTGGTGGTATGTTAAGTCTGATAGTAATCAAATACAAATTTGAATATGAATTCAAATAATTTTTCTTTTAATATCAAAAATTCTTCAAATTAAACAAAATGCATAAATACTGGCAGCAATTTTAAATCATTTTTATTTAATGCTAAATCGAAAATAAAATGATAGAATGGTTTTAAATATGAGAAAAAGCAACAAAGAAAACTAAAATTTTTTTTAATCTTTTTGTTGCTAATTTTCTTCGTTTTTATTTTTTAAAAAACAAAAGAAAATTAAATTCAATTATTTCATTTAAATTTTGAAAAGAAGAGAAATAAAAAAAGAACTAAAAGATAATCGGATCGAAACATTTACTACAAAGTGGTAATGATTGTACGACGAATTAACAACGATGGTTGCCTATAACTTTTGAGAAATCAATTCAAAAATGTCACGAAAATTATTGGAAGACATACATTACTGTGACAATGTGTAAAATTGTTATTATTGTATTTCCAAATGGTCTATGCGATCGATATGAATGATTGATATTATAATTTTAAGGTTTTTGATAATGAGAAAAAATGAATTTATAATAAAGAATTTCATTGGAGATGATTTCTTTGCCTATCTTTTGGACGATATTTTTTTCCTTCTAATCAAATTCTGTTATAAATTTGTCTTTTATCAAATTCTATTCACTAATTTTATTATTAATTAAAATACATAATTGCCAAGTTGCTATGCTAATAAAACTGATTCTTTCTTAGCTTTCTTATTGTTTTAAATAATCATTGTCACATACAAAATAGAAATATTCAAAAAAATATGGCTTCATATACTCTAAGATAGGGAAAATCTGTTGATATTAACTATTAAATATTCATTTAATTGAAAAAAAATTTTAACAAATGAAATTATTCCAAAAGAATGGATAAAATTTGATTCAGATAGCCTAAAAAATGAGTGAAATACGGTAATGATCTACCAAAGTCTATTTTCTTAGCAGTATTAATCAATAAATTAAGCAATTGAAAAAGTTAATTATTTCTGATTGTTTTAAATAAAAATAAAATAAAATAAAAATTCATTTTAGCATGCAATACATATATTCAGCAGTCAGTGATATTAACCTGGTGAGCGATTTTTGATAAGAAGTCAACAAGGTTAACCTTTTCATTTTTCAAGCCACCGGCAATCGCTACCAGCAATTTGATTGAAATTTAAATCAATAAAACATACAGAATGAAGATGATCCAACTGATATTCAATTCGACATTGTACTGATAAAGATCGAATCCACAGATGATACCAACGTTTTGTCAATGTTTTTAAATGTCGTTGTCGTCGTTGAATCCAACGATCGGCTCCTCTTTCGTTTACCTCCAAATTCCTACAAATAAGAAATTTTCAAAAAAAAAGAAAAACAAAAGAATTCTTTTGAAAATTTGAAATTTTTTACCAAACAAAAGAATTCTTTTGAAAATTTGAAATTTTTTTAAATTAATTATCATTATATGATGATAGTATGAATGATACATGGAAATAGGAAGGAATATAATTAGTATAATTATTGAAATTCATTTTTGAATTTCAATTTTTGGATTATAATTTTTTTTTAAAGTTTAACAAAATAAATGATAAATCCAAAATTGAAGTCAAAATTTAAATATGCAAATTGCAAGATGAAATTACCTGTTAACAGCTCGTTGAACGTTATTCACTAACGTATGGCCATCTATTTCGATTTGTAACTGGAGAATCTAAAATCAAATATTATTGATAATCAGTTATATTTTTTCTCATTCAATAAGCTAAATTACAGATCACTCTTATCATATCAATTAAGAACACATGACAAATACATGTCTATCCCGTAATCATTACCATTAATAATAATTAATTAATTTAAATTTTCAGTAAAAGTTTTATTTTTATTTTTTTTTGTCAGTTTAAAAATGAAATATGAGATTGGATGGAGGAAAATAAGACAGATCAATTAAGATTAATTAACTGTATTAAATTGATAAGAATTAAATAACTGTAACATACGATCATTTATTCAATATGAAAATTAATAGACGCTTAAAACTATTACAACATTAATGGTTTTGTTTATCGCATACAGTGATAATCAAAATGATATGATTGATTAGAACTTTTGTAAGATAATTCACTTGGAAAATAACCATAAATATAGATGGATAGATATTAGTTATGATAGAATAACGCATATTAAAAGGAATAGAAATATTTTAACAAGCAAAAGATAAGAGAAATTTCCAAGATTACTATATTTTATGAAGAGAAGGTAAATAGCAAGGTCATATGGTCACCAACAAATATTAATAATACCATGTCACGCTATCGTATACGTTTGAATATTTTATAAGGAATCTATCAAAAGAATTTAGTTTTTAAAAGATTGAAAAAAAAATTAATTGAAAAGGAATAGATAGAAATTATTTCAAGTTCATTGATTATTGGTCAATCAAAATAGTTTAAATTTTATGCTCAAAAATTTATTGACCTTACTCCTATTCCATTTTTTTCCAACCTGTATGTAATTATTACAAGTTCAAAATTAAACAACAAAAATTAATTAGTGTGATTAATTAATCACTATATGGAGCACATATATTTAATACACATACATTTTCTATAAATTATAGCTATGTTGACCTGAAGAGCCAAAAAAAAGAAGGTTAATCTAAGTAAAAAAAAAGTATTAGCAACAGTAGTGATAAGTTATTCGTTTAAAATGATAATTTACTAATCCATTGCACGATCGATTGTTTGGTACAAATCACTGATCAATCAAATGTCCAATATTAATAACTAACTAATTAAACTGTTCTTTGATCTCTATTATCCCTCTTCCCCTCTTAGAGCTAATCGTGCCAACGCTGTTCTTAATATCCGCAAGACCGCATTTAATCAATCATAAATAATTAATATATTAATACTAAAATTCCCTTCATTTATACCTGTCATAGGTAATTATATGTATCTATTGACCACTAAAATACATTAAATTATTCTGTAACATTCAGAGTAAAAAGTATTGCTATTCCTGGTACCCTGAAAATCTGCGAAACACATTTCTATTTTGGGCTATGCAATCCTGAAATTTTGTTTATAACTGATATCTGAATCGGTTTCACCTATATCACCTAATATTTTACAATATATTCTTATTTTTTTATTCAATTCAGGTAATTATATATTTCTATTATATAATCCAAAAACAAGTTTAGTAGTGAAAACAATTAAGATTATTGCCACTATTATTTTATCATCATTTTTACTATTATCGTCATTATTTACCACATAATCCGGTATAAGTAATAAAATTATTCTATTATTATTATTAATTGTTACTATGATTGTTACAATTGTTATTGCTAACAATATTATTATTACTATTATTGTCATTACTGTTATTTATTAATGTCATGATTTCCATCGCATGATTTGGGACACTTCAATAATAGTAAAATTATTACTTTTATTAGTATTATTATTATTTTTACTATTATTATTACTATTATTACAATCATTGCTTTTTATTATAAACAAGCATTTAAAATATATGAAAAGACAACAAAAAAACAGATAGATGAATAATAAATGATATACACGCATGAATGAGCAATTATGAAGTATTATCATTCAATCTACATCAACATTAATACCGGCAGTGATAATAATAATAATAACAACAACAACAATAACAACAAGTACGCATAATTACGGATTACGGGGTGATTGAACCAAAACGGATGATGTAGTAATGGGTAGTAGTAATACAGTTGAAAATACTCCGGATTGGGTAGTGGTAGTAAATGGTTTACAAAAGTAATATTGCATGAATGATCGTATATATCTGTGTATTATTCTCAAGGTTATATGAACACACACACACAGACACAGACACACACACACACACACATTCATATATTTAAGAATTAAATTGCTAGTGAAAAAAAAAGAGACAAACGATTTATCATTGATAATAAAAATGATTGATTGTAAGAAAGAAAGAATATTTTAATTTTATTTTTCTCTTTCTTTTTCTCAATTATAAAATTTTCGGCATATTTAAAGAAGAAATTGTCAAAGAAAAGAAAAGAAAAACTTTTTTTTTGAATGAATATTTTTTTAGATAAATTTGCATAAATAATTTGAAATTATCAATAATTGTTATTTGAATTTATAAAGTAATCATATTTGAAATTATAAAAATAATTATATAAATAATTTGAAACTATAAAATAATTATATAAATAATTGAAATTATAAAATAATCATACAAACAATTTGAAATTACAAAATAATTATATAATTCAATTTTTTTTAATTGAAATAAATTTTGAAAGATTTCATTTATTCAATTGATAGCATCGTTTATTAAGTACTCTTTCATATCATTTATCATTCACTATTGTAGATAAAATGATATCTCATCGATATTCTTTATTATACAAACAACATTTATGTTACAACTACCAAATAATAAAATATTTTTCATAGTGAAGGAATAATCAGATTTGATGATGTTAATCGTAATCAATTATCACCTGCAGCACCTACTTCTAGATCTTTTTATAACTAAGTATTATTAGTTTGAGTATCTGAAAGAGAAAAGAGATTTTGATATTTAATTCAAATTCTCACTCTGAAGATTTTCATATTTAATTCCTCATTGATTTATTCAGTAAAAGAAATCGCAAAATTTTAAAGTTTCGAAAAATATTAAATTATTAATTTTACTAACGGAAAAGTTCGATGTGATTTATTCATTTTGCATAAATTACAACACATACAATAAATAACAAGAAAATTGTTTAATTAAAATGAAAATATAATTTTAAATTTATTTGTTATTTATTTCCATTACCTTTAATTAACAATATTGACCTTAAGTAGTTTTCTTTTTTTCTCTATTTATCCATATATAGGCAAGTTATTTTCCTATATCTCATATGATTATTCATTGGCTTATATTATCTATACAGTAATAATTGGTTTATGTTACCTATATAGTAATAATATTCAAATGTTAAAAAATGACAAGTCATTATAGAAAAATAAATAATTTTTATGAATTTGCTATAAAAAAGGCGAAGTTATCCTTTTCAAGGTAAAAAAGTGTTTTAATAATTTTAAGATAAATGTAATTAAAACCAATTTTCAATAGTAAAAAGAAACATAAAGTTTTTCATAGTATTACCTTCGAATAAAATTTAAATTTTAAGAATTAAATTTCTGATAGAAAGGAACCAGCAAAACTTTGCTACATCTAAGATACATTTGCAATTTGTCTTATATTGCAGTATTCCATAAATAAATATTTATTCATCGCATTTGTCTACCGGTCTAATTGCGAAAACAAATTAATGCAAAGAAGTATGAAATATCTAGTTTAAGTTTGTCAAAATGAAAGAAGAAAACAAAAGAAAAACCGGACCTGTTGGTCAGCAGCCAAACGATCCAGTTCTTTGCGGGCAAGTGTTGCTTTCGTAAATTTATCTTCCATTACAGAAAGCTTTTCACTCATCGTTTGAAGCCACTTTCGAAGCTCCGATACTGCTGTTGGTTCAGCTTCTTCTAAAATTAATATTGATTTAAAATTTATAAAGATACCTAATGCTTAATCGATCTGTTCTTGAAGTTATCCTCATATTCTGCTTATCCTACGATCAAAGTTTTGTTCCCCTATTAAGCATCATAAAAATAGATTCTGTTTTCTAAACGATCAACGAAATGTCAGAAGTTATCCTTACGATATTCATAAAAAGCATTAAAAAAGAGACAGAAGATGATCTCTAGAATAGAATTTGAATTGTGACAAAATAATCTAACCTTTAGCAGCATTTTCGGCATTTTCTACGGATGACCGTTGATTCAATTTCAGATGTTCCATAGCACGGTTAATCGTACTTAATCTGAAATTTATATCATTTCAGTTTTTGTATTTATGATTCTAAAATTGAAATCATTTCTTTTTAATTTCATGATTACAACGAAAATGCTAACTGAAGTAATTAAATTGTACTATTAGAATAAATTGTGCAAATTACAGAAAAAAATGTAGGAATTTCTAAGAAGAAACAAAGGCATGGGATCTTTATATTACAACAAATGAGAGATCAATGACCATAAATTTCGAAGATCACAAAAAATTTTTTTTATACTAAATTCCTCTTATACATTTCATTCATTAAGAGATAAAGTATTCATATCAAAATTTCATTTTTAAAATTATAATAAAACTTTTCCATAGTTTTATTACATGCCAATAGTGCCAACAGTTGTCAGAAATTGCATGCCAATAGTTGTCAGAAATCTTTATTGCTAATAGAATTTATGAAGCCTAACAGCTAAAACTAAATGATATTATTATGCAAGGAAGAAATATTAAATCGACAAAAAAATTAAGAAATATAAAAAAGGTCAAATATTCATTTAGTTGAGCAAGTTGGTAATACCATTCAGGCCTAAACATAAAAAAGAAACAAAGGGAATTATAAATTCATAACTTCCGAAACAACGAAAGGTGAAATCATAAGTTCATGATGCACAAATTATGTGAAATGAAAGGATACGAAAAGTTAGTAATATGAATTTCGAAACAATCGGAAGCGAATTTGAAGAAATGGCAGAAAATTATCAGTAAACTTACTTTGAAGATAAATTGATAAACGATAAGGTTCTACCGAATTATCGGTAGAATCGTAAATATTGGAATCGTTTTATTTTTTTAAATATTTAAATCCTAATTAAAATAAAGTGCATATGATCATTAACTTTAGAGTTTAAACTGTCAGATATAACATCATATTTACGCCATACAAACATAGTGCTCCAAAGAATTGGAAATTTAAAATCCGCTTCATTTGAAATATTAAATTCAAAAATAGTTTAAATCTTCCCAGAATTTGTATATTATTCTATTTTCATTATTTTCAAGAAAATAGATCAGATGATCAATTCATCAATAAATCAGCTAATCAATTCGCCATCTGATTTAGTTGAAAATTTTCCTAATTCTCATTTTCCCACATATGAACAAGTGTTACAACAACAAAAAAACACTTCTCAATTTCCATTTTATGAAAGATTTAAGAATGGCTTTTGAATTAATTAATAGTATTTAAATAATTTAAATCATCGAAATCTGTCACAAATAAAATCGCTCGTTTAGATAATACACGTTTATGCAATAATTTTGCAGGAAAAAAATTAGAATACGAATTCATAATTTTGTTCCCATTATTTTACAAATGTTTTTTTTTGGAATAAAATTAATGAATAATGTAAGGTTTATTGTAATATATATTATTCCATTACAAATGAACAAATTAATTTTGTCAAAGATAACAAGATATCAGTTAGTAGATCAATAATTAATAAAATTTTAAAAAATACATCAGTTCAAAAAAGAAATATTAATTTATCATATTCAAGCTAGTTGCTTATTTTATTAACTATAAATAAAAATAACATTGATAAAGATGTAATAATGAATGATAAATAAGATAAGTATTGTATGAAGTTGATTATGAAAGTAAAGCTATAAAATAGTAATTTGAAACTAAAAATTATTTGATCATAAGAATTATTGAAATGGAATTTATCGAACTGATTAATCTTATCCAAACAGGTAAATTATTCCATCAGTATCATAATCCATAAAGAGATAATATACCATATTAATTGATTTAAGAATCGATGATATTAATGAAGAATGTTTAGAAGCCATTTATTTTCAGATGTTGTACTCGAAATCCTTAACTTTATATCTAACAATATTTTAATAATTCATAACGCTAAACTTTGGTAACAAATTCTTAATTATTAAATTTAGTAAATTGAATGCTAGGTTAATTTCTTCAGACAGTATATTCATAGAAATACATTGCCAGTCGGAGGAAAAAAATTTGCAAGGTCAACCGGAACATGAGAGAATCACATGAAGTAATAATTTAATCAACTGATCAATTGATTGCAAAGTTTATAAGTGAGGTTACAAACTTCTTTATTTGATAATCGGTGCAAACAAGTTTAGATAAATTATGGGATGAGTAGAATGAGTTATTTTCTTCAACAACAACAACAATAAATTTCATTTTCATCAACAAATTTGTCACTTTCATTTGATAAAAGCGCTCTAGAAATAAAAGTTTCAACATCTGACTGATTAATCTATTTCACAAGTTCTGATAATTAATATACAAGAAGTTCGATATTTGAGTACAATAAATTTTTAGCTAGCGACGCTTTTTATCATTATATTAGTGATGCAATAACGACACTTTTTATAATCAGTGATATAATCTTTGTTACGATTTATAGCACTTCTTGTGCGAAGAATAGATGCAACAACAGTTGCTGTCCGGAATCCACCCGATCAAGAAGCATTATTTTTGTAATCTTTAATCCTAAACGGCTTCTATGCTTTCATATTTTTAGAAGAGGGCGAAACAGAAATGGCATGAAATATTAGGATACTTCTGATTGCATAACTCAACGCTAATCTTGAATGAAATCTCAGTTATGAATTTTAAACTGAGCGGCGATAAGCTAAGTTTTATACGTTTTAAATTTTAGAACAGAAAAAAGAAACATTTAAAATTTTTGATTAATTCTGAAACATTTAATTCTTACCTTTAAGTGGATAAATACAAAAATAGTTATGACATTAAAAATTCAAAAAATTTTCCTAAATTTATTACGAATTATATTTGAAATAGAAATTTCAATGATTATATTATAATTAAAAATTTTGATCTTAAACAAAATCATTTCAAAAATTTCAATTACTACGAAAAAACAATTTTACTTACTTTGAAGTAACCAAATTTGTCAATTGTGGAAGAGCGTCCGATAGTTCAGTGCCTTGCTCAATAATTTCCATTCGGCGACGTAAAATATCGCTTTCGTTGACTACCTGTAAAGTGCAATAAATTATTTGCTTAGTTTATAAAAAAAAATTAACTTCAATTTCACAATGAAAAATTCTTTTAAAATGTTTGTATGTGTAGTACGTTGTAATAATTATTGATGAAATTTTAGAGATAATAGAATGGACTTATTTATATTCTAATTGATAATTATTAAAATACAAATATATTAAACAGTATCATATCATTTCAATAATTTGAAAAAATTTATAAATAAATAAAAAGTGCAGTATAAAATGTATAAATAAATAAAAAGTGCAGTATGTAGTATAAAATGAAAGAAATAGATTATGAATATTATTAAATAAATTTATTAATTTGAAGATTAGATCAAAGTTTTAAACTAAAATTACAGTGATGAATTTTGATGAAAGTTGTCAGAATATATGATATGATATCCTAGGTTGAAAATAAAATGATATCAGAAAGAGGAAAGAGAATACTATCAATGAATTCGAAATATAAAGATAGAAATAAAGTATTGAAGATTTTAGCAGAGCTAACAATTTATATACCTATCATCACTGTATACATAAAATGAAATCTAATACTTATCGTCGATTCGATTTTAAATTAATGAAAAGGGATTTAGGCAAAATCTTATCGTGTTGAAAATTGAAATTTCAACTTTTTGATAGAAATTCCTGAAATTCAACAAGGTAATCAGAAATAGGTAAAGTATTTATTTCATTTTCAACAGATATACATTATTTGTCTATTTAAAAATACTCATTTCATCGTTGATTACACTAAGCGATACCTTAGATAACATATACTTAGGTAATCTAAAATGAATAGTGTAATACTTACAGATTTAAGATCACAAATTCTTTTTTTAAAAAGAAAATAACAAACTATTCAAATTGCTATTTCCAAAAATATGTCATTTCAGTTTGCGCAATAATTGCTTAATGTAATGGATGGAAATTAATTTCAACATAGTGGGAAGAGAGAGTTTTGGATGATTTTAATTTTAGAAAAATTTTCATTCTAATACAGCAAATAAATTTAATGAATTATTCCTCTTATAATTGACAAAGAAAAGAATCTTTTTCCTTTTTTAAAATTACATTAAAATATGTCATAAAAGTGGGAAATTTTAACATTCAACAATTATATCAATGATTTGTGATATTTGTGTAATTTTAGGCTTTTCTTTTTTGAAATTGCTCCAAAACATGGATTGATATTTGGTATTATCTAATTAATATATATTCACCTGAAATATTCTGAACCAGTACATATAATCGCGGGACTATTTTTTAGTGCTGCTAGCATCTAACATAATCATAGAAATTATTTTAATGTGATTAGGAAAAGAAAACTTTTTGTCACTCACTCCTAGCAAGTGTTAAAGAGAGGGAAAAATTATTATTGTTGGTTATTCTAAAATCAGACAATTTATAGAAACTAAATAATTTAAGGTTAAAGTTCAAATGAATATGCATCTTTTAAAATCTTTTTTACTTTATAATTTGAATTAATTATCAAAATGAAACGCTATTAAATGACACATACAAATGATATGTAACAAAGAAATAAATGATACTGAAAAAAACGAAGTTTATTTTTCAAAAGCTAAGCAATATTTAAATATTCAACTAATTAATACAACATTGTTGAGAGATTGTAAATTGAATGTAAGATCTAAAAGAAGTCAATATGAATAATTTGGTTGATCTAAATGCCTAATATAACTGACCTTAGCAAAATACTTGAAAGCTAGAATTTACTTAATGGAGAATACAATATGTAAATTACTTCTTAGTCAAACATTCGTAAATAAAACCGTGAAGTAAAAGGTACTTAAATACTTCAGGCAAATATCACACTTCCGGTGTTGAAAGAATAAATGATTCGGAGAAGAAATAAAGAAAGACAAACCATTGAACAATAATTGACTTTATTTACCTTTACTTTAGAGACTTTTATCCTACCTGAAAATTGCCTTTTACAATTT